TTTTTTGTTGCAACTCCATTTAAAGCCCGAGCCCCGCAGTGCGTCGCTCTCTCGCCGCCTCTCGCTCTCTCGCCGCGGCCCTCCCCGCAAAAAAAACCATGGCCAGATTAGGAGGAGGTCGGCAAGAGGGGGGACGTTCTTTTCGAATATTTTCATTCATAATAGCGAGAATGTTGATGGGAAGGGACGGTAATGATGCTTTCCTAAATTGGAGTGATGTAAGAGAGCGAGAGAAAAGATTTTTACGTCCGCACTGTGCAAAAATAAACAATTTTTTGAGCCGCACAGTGCGGTCAAACATTTTATCCGACTGCACTGTGCAGTCACATAGAATGTTTTTGTCCGCTGAGCTGTGCAATCAAAAATTTATTTTTGTTCAGAAAAGTGTTCAATCAAGAATTTTTTGTCAGCACAGCCCAATCATAAACGTTTTATTCGTCTTCACAGTGCAATCAAAAACCATTTTTCGATCTGCACTGTGCAGTCAATGAAAGTCAAAAAAATCAGCACTGTGCCATTCAAGAATTTTTTTTTTTTTTTTTTATCTGCGCATGCACTCAAAATTTTCCCATCCGCACTGTGCAATCAAAAAAAATTTCCATCTTCACAGTGCATCATGAACAATCTTTTGATCTGCACTGTGCAAAGACTTTTTTCGTTCAGCAAAATGTTCAATCAAAAAAGAATTTTTTGCACTGTGCAATTAAAAAAATATATTTTTTGATCTGCACTGTGCACTGAAACTTTTTTTTCCGTCTGCACTATGCAATCAAAAAAAATTTTTTTTTGTCTACACCGAACTCAAAAATTTTCCCATCCGCACTGTGCAATCAAAAAAAATCTATTCACTGCGCACCGTGCAATAAAAAAAAAATTCGGTCTGCACGGTGCATCATGAACTTTTTTAATCTGCACTGTGCACTGAAACTTTTTTTTCCGTCTGCACTGTGCAGTCAAAAAAAACATTTTTTTCCAACCCATTGCATACAAAAAATTTTTTTCCATCTGACAAAACGTTCACTCAAAAAAATCCGATCTGCACTGTGCAATCAAAAAAAAAATTTTTTTTCTGATCCGCACAGTGCAGTCAAAAAAAATTTTCCATCTGCACTGCGCACTCAAAAAAATGTTTCCCCGTTCGCACTGTGCAGTCATAAACAGTTTTTTGATCCGCACAGTGCAATCAAAACAATTTTTGCATCTGCACTGTGCACTCAAAATTTTTCCGTTCGCACTGTGCAGTCAAAGTTCCTATTCGTTCGCACAGTGCAATCAAAAAAAATTTTCGACCTGCACTGTGCACTCAAAAAAAATTTTTTCCTCTGCACAGTGCGACCAAAAAATGTTTTCCCGTCCGCACAGCGCAATAAAAAAAATTTTTTTGATCCGCACAGTGCAGTCAACAAAAAATTTCCATCTGCACTGTGCAATCAAAAAAAAATGTTTTTTCCACCTGCAGTGTGCAATCAAAAAATTTTCCCGTTCGCACTGTGCAATAACAAATCAATAAAATTTTCTGTCTGCACAGTGCAACCGAATTTCTTTCCGTTTGCACAGTGCAATCAAAAAATTTTTATGATCCGCACTGTGCGAAAAACTATCTTTCCAAATGTTCAGGAAACTGCCAGAAAATACAAAAAATAATAAAATACTGCTCCTCATGAATAAACCATTTCTAATTTGACTGAAACAATTACAAAATTACGACTCAAATGCACAAAAAAAAGTATCACCGGGCCAAGACTATAAAACAGAGGCCTGAATGTCGAGTACAATATTGCTTTTTTGTGCACGTCAAGCGGAGAAGAAATGTCGCGTTTCCGTTTTTTGGGAAAAATAACAGAGCCTAACGTGATGCGAAGTGCATTCGAAACCTATAATTAGCAGTTCGTTTGTACAGACGATGGAAAAAATTGGAAAAAGGAACGGAGAAGATGTACAAACAATATCATCGTTTAGGTCACAGATTCTATTTTTTTACATAAAAAACCTTCACATGACCGGATTCAACGTGTTTTACATTCTAAAAATAGTTATTGACAAAAAAATTTTTTTCTCTGATCACTCTCCGCAGTTTGCCTAATCTCTCGAGTATATGTATTTCTACCATAGAGAGAGTAATGTTTCCACAAAAAATCAATTTTTTTCGCACGAAACTGACAAAGACATAGCCAAAAAACTGTTTTCTCTCTGACCGCTCTCCGCATTTTCCGTAGTCTCTCGGAAAGATCGTTGAATATCTCGGCCGCGCATGCAAAGTGGGAGCTGAAATTTTGAGGAATTGATGTGTGGCCTATACCCAAAATCTGTGCAAAATTTTAAAAAAATCTGAGCGTCGCACAAAGCAAAAAAAAAGAATTTTATTTACCAGGGAAGTACTCCAAGTCCGACGTTCGGATTTTCCTTAAATTTTACACACACTTTAATCATAAGCCGCATATCAATTCCTGAAAATTTTAGCTTGTTTTTTACAGGCGCAGCCGAGATATTAAACAATTTTTGCCGCCAAGAGAGTACACGAAACGCGGAGAGTGGTCAGAGAAAAGAGACTTTTTGGCCATATTTTTGCCAGTTTCGAGTGAAAAATTGATTTTTTGGGAAAATATTACACTGCAGAGTAGACATATGTACATATGAAACACTTTAGGTCAAAATTCGGAAACAGTGGGAAATTTTTTCCAACTTGCAATGCCAAAAATCCCGGTTTACAATAGTCTCAAATTAAACACTTCCTCTGCGTTCCCTATTTCAATCAGACGTTCGTTGAGCCTCGCCAAACAAAATTTTCGCCTTGGAAAGCGATTTGTGGAATTTCGGCTCGTAAACAAATACCATGCAGAGATGACAACGTATTTTACATCACCCTTGCCTGGGCAGTCTTTTGAGTGGTGCCTTTTAATCAAATTTTGGCATAAATGTTCTGAATGAGCCAAGTATTAACCGCAGGCAGCTGTATCACCCATTTTTCGGTGGTAGCTAACAAGGGAAGTGCCCCAGTGCAAAGCTCAGATTTTGTTTAAATTTCGCGCAAATTTTGGGCATAGGCCGCATATCAATTTCTGAAAATTTTAGCTCATTTTTTTACAGAAGCGACGGAGATTTTTTGATCAAAATTTGGCAAAATTTTTGAATTTTTTTTTGCAGATTTTGGTCCGAAAAGTTTCATACCTATTTCTACCGTAGTGAGTAATATTTCCACAAAAAATCTAGTTTTTCCGCAAGAAACTGGCAAAGATATGGCAAAAAAAGAGTTTTTTCTCTGTCCGCTCTCCTCATTTTGCGTGCTCTCTCGGTCAGAAAGATCGTTGAATATCTCTGCTGCGCTTGCAAAGCTGGAGCTAAAATTTTTAGGAATTCATATGTGATCTATACCCAAAATATGTGCAAAATTTAGAGGAAATCTGAGCGTCGCACCTATAAAAAAAAAGAGAAAAAAAGAGATTATTTTTTTATTTTTGACTAAAAAATTTTATTACCATCCCACCTTCGTAACTTTCAACATTTTGGCCCTCACCCCTTACGCATATGACATGCAATTAGTCCCGCGCCGCTGTTACAATGACGCCGGGTTCGAGACACCCTGCACTTGTGAGAAGATTAACGGCTTTGACACAAATACTGTTCGTTTGTGGGAATGGGAATTACATTTCCGAACATGTCATCTCGAACTGTGGACTTGAGAAAAACCAATCGGGCCAGTAAATTTCGCAGTAAATAGTGTGAAGTGCAGCGAATTTAAGGAAGGTGCATTGCAATTAGAGACCATCGAGATGAACTTTACGGTTGTTATGATGCAAAAGATATTGTAAAAACGTGAAAATAATGTGGTGAAAAAAATGGAGATATGAATTGTCGATAAAAGTCTAACTATTATAATAGGGGAAGTACCCCAAGTGCGACGCTCAGATTTAGATGAAACTTGGCACAGATTTAGATTAATTTTTTCTAAAATACATGCGAGAATCCTAGCTCGCGCTTTGCAGAAACAACCGAGATTTTTAGATCAAAAGTCGGCGAAAATTTCGGACTTTTTGCCGAATTTTGCCATGAAAAGTTTCATACCTATTTCTATCATAAAGGGTAATGTTTCCACAAAAAATCAAATTTTTCCGCACAAAACTGGAAAAGTTATGGCCAAAAAACGTTTTTCTCTCTGACCGCTCTCCGCGTTAAGCGTGCTCTCTCAAAGATGGTTCAATATCTCGGTGGCGCTTGCAAAGCGCGAGCTCAAACTCTCAGGAATTGATATTTAGTCTATGCCCGAGGCGTGTGCAAAATTTAAAGAAAATCGGAGCGTCGCACTTGGGGTACTTCCCCTGTAAGGAAAATTTTAGCTCTGCTACGAATTTCGCACGGTGCAGAACCGTCTCGCGAGGTCAAAAGAAGCGGAAAAGTTCCCTTTTTTTAATGCCATAGGGCCTGAAAATTCGTCATGATGACACATTTTTTTAGTTCAGGAATTAATTTGGTCATCATGAAAAATTTTTTTGATTTTTTAAAACTATTTTTGATTCAAAAATCTCATTCTTAACAATGACGTCATAATTTTTTTGACAAATATTAGCCGAAAAATTCGTCATGATGACAGATTTCTTGAAATACCTTCAAAACCCCAATTTTTCATCGAAAAAATCGAAATCTTGCCAATTTATATTATCCATGAGGTCGGATGTTGGGGTTTATGCAAATTTTGTCACAAAAATGACTTTCTGTCATCGTCATATTGTTCAACATTCCTCAAAAGACCGCTACCTTACGATAAATTTCAGTTCCATCCATAAAAACCACTTGCAACGGAATGCCAAAAATGTTTTCGTGGCGAGACGAAGAACAGGGATTTCACAACAAATCGGAACGCGGAAAATTTTTTTCTCACTTGCAATAAAAATCAAGTAAAATAAACCAATAATTGTTAGTAAAGTCGAGTGTAAAGTTGTAATAACCAATTATTTTTTGTGTTGAAACGTTGATAGTAGTATAATATAATTTCAGACCTGAAAATGGCGTTGGTTGGAATGGAATTCAACGCGCCTTTGCGCACCGTCAAGCGGGTCCAATTTGGTGTTCTTGGACCGGACGAAATTGTAGGTTTTTACAACTTTTTTTTGAGTGGTTTAGAAGAGTACTAGTTGATCTCAAGGATAAGGTCCTAATTCTCCGAATTTTGGCCGAGAGTTGTCGAAATTGAAAGAGTTTGATACTTCAAGGTCTAGACGAACTTATTCCGTCACTTTTCAGCGATCCATGTCCGTTGGAGAGATCAAATTCGCAGAGGTTTACGACGAAGGGAAGCCGAAGCTGGGCGGGTTGATGGATCCCCGCCAGGGATGCATTGACAAGAAAGGTCGATGTAACACTTGCGCCGGATCCTTGACAGATTGTCCTGGGCATTTTGCTCATCTGGAGTTGGCCAAGCCGGTCTTCTACATTGGATTTTTGACAAAAACATTGAAAGTATGTTGATTTTGTTTTTTTCTTGGAATTTAGGTGGAATGCTGAAGAAAAGATGTTGTAGCTTCTTGATTTGGAGGTCTAGTTGCTGGAAGTGGATTGTATGAGCTGCCTAAAATCTTATGGCATCTGTTAGTCGCAAAATTGTTGCAATCCTGGTGTATTTTTTGTCCTGAAATTCTTGTTTTAGTTTGACCCGCCAAATCGCAAGAATAATATAATTTTTTATGGGTTGTTGTTACATTTATCGATCGATTATTGTCTGAGTAGTAGAAATAGTCTTTAGAAAGTCTGTTTGACTGAAAAAAGTTTTGGATGATCTGTTTTCATCGAAAAATAACCTTATCATATACATCCTTACCAAAATTCATTTCAGCTCCTCAGATGTGTTTGTTTCTACTGCAGTCGTCTGTTGGTGGACAAGGACAACCCAAGAGTCCAAGACATTCTCCAGAAGACGAAAGGAAACCCCCGTCGTCGAATGGGCTTGATCTACGACATGTGCAAAGCCAAGACAGTATGCGAAGGGGTGGATAACTTGGATGGAGCGAACATGGAAGAGTTGAACGAAGCTGAAAGAGAGCTGAAGGCCGGAGGATGTGGTCGCTATCAGCCCTCCTACCGACGAACTGGAATTGAAGTCACAGCCGAGTGGAGAAAGCATGTTAACGAGGACACCCAGGAGAGGAAGATCGTCCTCACTGCCGAGAAGGTTTTGGAGGTGTTCAAGGGAGTCACCGATGAGGATATTGAAATCATGGGTCTGGATCCGAAGTTTTCAAGGCCTGAGTGGATGATTTGCCAGGTCTTGCCGGTCCCTCCACTTCCAGTTCGACCAGCCGTGGTTACCTTTGGATCAGCCAGAAATCAAGACGATTTGACCCATAAACTGGCTGATATCGTCAAAACTAATAATCAGTTGATGGCGTAAGTTGATTTAGTCTTTTTTGAATTGGTTTTTAGGGAAGTTATTGACTGATGCTTGGAGCTATATTGATCTAGACATCAATTTCTGGAAAAAAATCAAATTTTTTTGCGATTTTGAATAAATAATGGATGTTTTCTGATGTAGAACGGCTCTAAATTGAGTGTAAATTTTAGAGGGATTAATTCTCAATAGTTTAGAGATAAGGGGATAACAAAAATTTTTCGAAATAATCGGGTTTTTTCGCAACATTTTTCTCAACTCTTCCGTTTTTAATCCGCTCTTTTTTAGCAATGAATCCGGCGGCGCGGCAGCTCACGTTATCGCCGAAGATGTCCGCCTCCTCCAGTATCACGTTGCCACAATGACAGACAATCAAATTCCCGGAGTCCCAACGGCCACACAAAAAGGCGGACGACCTCTGAAGTCGATAAAACAACGTCTGAAGGGAAAAGAAGGCCGAATCAGATGTAACTTGATGGGAAAACGTGTCGACTTCTCGGCTCGTACTGTCATCACGCCAGATCCGAACCTGCCAATTGACACGGTTGGAGTCCCACGAACAATTGCTCAGAACATGACATTCCCAGAGATTGTGACACCATTTAATATTGATAAGTAAGGAGAGAAGGGAATTTGGAAGAAAGGATATGGGATATTTTGGCGGTTTGAGGGATTTTGATATTGTTTTAGACGATTTTTTGACAAGGAAAGTACTTTTATGGGGTATGGAGTTACAGGTCGAGACATATACCAAAAAAATCGCGAAATTTTCTGATTCAGAAGATGTAAAAATTAGCTGCCCAATTTTGGTTTGTAAGGGCGAAAAAATCCTCAGAACTTTTCTCGCAACATCACCCAAATGCCCCTTTTTTACATTGGAACTACTAATTATAAGGTATAGTATTAATATAATTTGATATTTTAAGGCTTGTCAAGATGCCAGGGTTTACTTATTTTGACCAAGTTTTTACCAATTCAAAACCTTTGTTTGATCCAAAAGTAAACCCTGGCATCTTTAAAAGCCTTAAAATATCAAATTGGATTAATACTACACCTTATAATTAGTAGTTCCAATGTAAAAAAGCTACATTTGTGTGGTGTTTCGAGAAAAGTTCTGAAGGTTTTTTCGCTCTTACAAACCAAAATTGGGCAGCTAATTTTTACATATTCTGAATCAGAAAGATTTTGAAATTGTTTGATACATGTCTCGACCTGTAACTCCATACCCCATAGAAGTACTTTCCTTGTCAAAAAATCGTCTAAAACAATATCAAATTTACGGAGAGATTATGCCATTTTTTGTCAAATTTTGACCTTATTGTAGTCTATCATACCTTATTTTAGACTCCAAGAGCTTGTGAACCGCGGCGACACGCAATACCCGGGTGCCAAGTACATCATCAGAGAGAATGGGCTCCGTGTCGATTTGCGCTACCATCCCCGAGCCGCCGACCTGCATCTGTTGCCCGGCTACCGAGTGGAACGGCACATGCGAGACGGCGACATCATCGTGTTCAACCGCCAACCCACCCTCCACAAAATGTCCATGATGGGGCACAGAGTGAAGGTCCTCCCATGGTCCACATTCCGCATGAATCTCTCGGTCACAACCCCGTACAACGCGGACTTTGACGGCGATGAAATGAATCTCCACTTGCCCCAAAGTCTGGAGACAAAAGCCGAAATTATGGAAATTGCGATGGTCCCCCGCCAACTCATCACCCCGCAGGCCAACAAACCCGTCATGGGCATTGTGCAGGACACGCTGTGCGCCGTCCGCATGATGACAAAGAGGGATGTGTTCATTGAGTTGCCCCGAACCATGGATCTGCTGATGCACTACCCAGACTGGGACGGAAAGATCCCACAGCCCGCCATATTGAAGCCCAAACCGTTGTGGACGGGAAAACAAATGTTCACGCTGATTATTCCGGGTGAGTTGGGAGAAAATTGCAGGAAATTTTATATTGTTTTAGGGGAGGTGGGTGCTAGATTTTTTTTCGAAGTTTTTGGAAAAGTCCTTGATTTTTTTGAAGGAAATGAAGAATTGATGAAAGTTTAGGTATTTTTGGGGATTCTGAAAAGGATTTGAGCTCCGAGGGTTACTGTATTTTTTTGGGATTTGTCGAATTTTATGTGATTTTGAGATTTTTTTGAAAATTGTTGGGAAAGCGACTGGGAAATTGGGGTTTTTGTATGAAGAATGAGACTTTATGAAGCCTTAGAATTTTTAAAATACGAGGGGAATATCTTCGAGCGGTATAAAATATGCTGATTTTTGGCCTGGAACAGTTGATTTTTGAATTATTTTTTTATGAAATTGACAAAAATTAATGGTGAAGGCCAAGAGAATTGAAGGCATGGTCTTTTCCCGCTGATTGTTGTTGAATAAACCTATCAGCGTCAGCAGCTATGCAACAGAAGCAAATTTGGTTTAAAAATTGGGGTTTGGAGCGGAGAATTTGAAATTTTAGTGTATTTTTTGAGGTTTTATGAGGTTTTTTGGTTGGTTTCTGATGTTTAAGTAATTAAAATTGTATTTTAGGTCAAGTCAACTGTCTTCGAACCCATTCCACCCACCCGGATGACGAAGACAGCGGTCCGTACAAGTGGTTATCACCCGGCGATACGAAGGTCATTATCATCAACGGCGAACTGCACGCCGGCATCATCTGCTCGAGAACGATCGGAAAAAGCGCCTCGAACTTGTTGCACGTCTGCACACTCGAACTTGGCCATCAGATCGCCGCCAGATTCTACTCGCACATTCAGGTAGGTGAAGGTCAAAAATTGAATGCCATGGATAAGATGATGGGTGTGTGGGCTCAAAAATAGTCTACAAAAAAGCCTAATGAGTTGGTTTAGCTGATCGTGAACGCTTGGCTGCTAGCGGAAGGTCATACCATCGGTATCGGCGATACAATTGCGGACCAGGCCACCTACCGAGATATCCAAGAAACCATCCGAAAAGCGAAGCAAGAAGTGGTGGATGTGATTGAACGAGCCCACAATGATGAACTAGAACCAACACCTGGAAATACCCTCAGGCAAACTTTTGAAAATCATGTGAATCGAATCCTGAACGACGCCCGAGATCGAACCGGAAGTTCGGCTCAAAGATCCCTCTCCGAATTCAATAATTTCAAAGCCATGGTGGTCGCTGGGTCCAAGGGATCCAAGATTAATATCTCACAGGTAAACAGGGAAAATTTGAAGGGAAGTGGAGGCAGTTTTGAGAGGAAATTATATTGTTTTAGATAAAAAGTGGGGTTTTTTGGCTATTTTTTGAAATTTTGGGAAGCAATAGGGGAGATGTTTGGTGAAATGGAAAGGAAATGTAAGTTCTGGAGTTGGTGCGGTATTTTAGTGTGGATTAAGAGCGACTTGGAGGGTTGGTGATATTATTTTAGAAAAAAATTTTAAAATTTTTCACAAGGAAAGTACTTTTATAGGGTATGGAGTTACAGGTCGAAAGATATATCAAAAAATTCGCAAATTTTTTTTGATTCAGAAGATGTAAAAACTAGCTGCCTAGTTTTGGTTTGAGGGCGAAAAACACCTCAACACCACGCAAATGCTTTTTTGACCAAGTTTTTACCAATTCAAAAGCTTTGTTTTGAGCTAAAGTAAACCCTAATTGATATTTTAAGGCTGGTCAAAATGCCAGGGTTTACTCTAGCTCAAAACAAAGCTTTTGAATTGGTAAAAACTGGGTCAAAAAAGCATTTTCGTGGTGTTGCGAGGAAAGTTCTGAGGATTTTTTCACCATTACAAACCAAAACTGGGCAGCTATCTTTTACATATTCTGAATCAGAAAAATTTTGCGAATTATTTGATGTATGTCTCGACCTGTAACTCCATACCCCATAGAAGTACTTTCCTTGTGAAAAATTTTAAAATTTTTGTCTAAAATAATATCACCAACCTTCCAAGTCGCTCTTAATCCACACTAAAATACCCCACCAACTCCAAAAATTACATTTTATACCCATTCCACCAAAAAAACAAAAAAAATGTTTATTTTTTCAAAACTTTTGATGAAGTGTGGCTTTTCTGACCTTTTTTTATCAAAGATAATTCAAAAAATTTTCAGGTTATTGCCTGTGTGGGCCAGCAGAACGTGGAGGGTAAGCGAATTCCGTTCGGTTTCCGGCACCGAACCCTCCCCCACTTCATCAAAGACGACAACGGACCGGATTCGCGTGGGTTCGTGGAGAACTCGTACCTGGCCGGCCTCACGCCCGCCGAGTTCTTCTTCCACGCGATGGGAGGACGTGAGGGACTGATCGATACGGCCGTCAAAACCGCCGAGACCGGCTACATCCAGCGCCGGCTGATCAAGGCCATGGAGTCGGTGATGGTGAATTACGATGGAACCGTACGAAACGCCGTCGGCCACATGATCCAGCTGCGCTACGGTGAGGATGGACTGGACGGAACTTGGGTGGAAAATCAGAGTTTGGGAACATTGAAGCCAAACAACGCCCTGTTCGAAAAGGAATACCATCTGGACACGGGAAATATAAGAGAACTGAAGGACTTGTACACGGACGAGGTTTACCGTGACTTAACCACCACCCCAGGCCATCAACAGATGTGCAATGATGAATGGATCCAACTCCAGGAGGATCGACGGCTCTTGAGGAAGATCTTCCCCAATCCCAATGTGAAAATCCACTTGCCTTGCAACTTGTCGAGACTGATTTGGAATGCACAGAAAATCTTTCATGTCGATCTGAGGAAGAGATGTGAATTGTCACCATTGAAGGTAGGGATTATTGATTTGAAGGGTTTTTGGGGGAATTGTTTTTTTTTTTTTTTTTTTTTTTTTTTGAAAGTGGTAGTGAATTTGGGGACTTTATGAGTTTGCACGGTGCAGAGATTTTTTTGTTGGAAATTTGGAAATTGCACGGTGCGGCAGGGATGTTGGAGAAATTTGAGGTGTGAAAAAGAACGTTTAGGTGGTGTGTGTAGTGGAGAAATAAATTTTAATTTTTTTTGCGCTGTGCAAGGTGGGACTTTTTTGGTATTTTTTGTGATCGCACGGTGCAGAGAATTTTTGTTGGAGATTGCACGGTGCGGCAGGGAGATTTGAGAAATTTGAGGTGTGAAAAATAATTTTTAGGTGGTGTGTGTAGTGGAGAAAAGAATTTTTAATTTTTTTGAAATGTGCAGATGGGATTTTTTGACATTTTTTGTGATTGCACAGTGCAGAGGATTTTTTGGAAATTGCACGGTGCGGCAGGGATGTTTCAGAAATTTGAGGTGTGAAACAGAAGGTTTAGGTGCTGTGTATAGTTGGGAAAAGAATTTTTACTTTTTTTTGAAATGGGCAGATGGGATTTTTTGGCATTTTTTGTGATTGCACAGTGCAGAGGATTTTTTGGAAATTGCACGGTGCATAGGATAGTTGGGGTATTTTGAAGTACTATTGAAAGGTTTAGAAATTCCTAACATGATTTTAAAAAAAAAAAATTATTTTTTGTGCACGGTGAGAACACACAATTTTTTGATTTTTTTCTATTTTTTATTTTATCTTTTTCTAATTTTTGAAATTTCAGGTCATCGAAGGCATCAAGGAGCTCTCGAAACGCCTGATCATTGTCGGTGGCGAGGACCGAATCTCCCAACAAGCCCAATACAACGCCACACTCCTGTTCAACATCCTGCTCCGCTCCACATTCAGCTCCAAACAGATGGCCAAAACGCATCGCCTGAACGCCGAGGCCTTCGAATGGGTGCTGGGCGAAGTGGAGACCCGCTTCAATCAGGCGATCGCGCAGCCCGGCGAAATGGTGGGCGCACTCGCCGCGCAGTCGCTGGGAGAGCCGGCCACTCAGATGACCCTGAACACCTTCCATTATGCTGGAGTGTCCGCAAAGAACGTGACGCTGGGAGTGCCCAGATTGAAGGAAATCATCAACGTCTCCAAAAAGCCCAAAACCCCCTCGTTGACCGTGTTTTTAACGGGAAATGCGGCCAAAGACGCGGAAAAAGCGAAAGATGTCCTGTGCAAGCTGGAGCACACAACCTTGAGAAAAGTCACCGCCGAAACTGGAATTTTCTACGACCCTGGAGTGGTGGAAACCTGCATTGAGGAAGATAAAGATTGGGTACAGATTTTCTACGAAATGCCGGATGCTGACCCATCGAACGCCGGACCATGGCTGCTGAGAATCAAAATGGACCGAAAGAGGTATGGAGAAGATAAAATAACATGAAAAATGAAGCTTTTTGCTATGGAAGAGGTTGAAATGGAGTGGAAAAGGCATTTAGCACAGATTGGCGGAGAAAGTTTTGAGTTGACACTTTGCAACAAAAATTATCGATTTTTGTGACATTTCGTTAAACTCGGGAAAGTGAAGGATTTTGATGGGAAATGAGTTTAGAGCTGCTTTAAATAGGATTTGGAGATTTTTTTGGTGAAGTTGACACTTCGCAACAAAAATTATCGATTTTTTGTGATATTTCGTTAAACTCGGGAAAGTGAAGGATTTTGATGGGAAATGAGTTTAGAGCTACTTTAAATAGGATTTGGAGATTTTTTTGGTGGAATTTGAGTATGGACATTGCAAAAAATTGGATTTTTTGAAAAATTTTTAAAAAAATTTTTGGTTTTGAAATTTTTGCAATTTCCAGAATGACGGACAAGAAACTGACGATGGAAGGAATCGCCCGTCGAATTAACGAAGGCTTCGGCTCGGATTTGCATGTGATCTACACCGACGACAACTCGGAAGACCTGATTTTCCACATCCGCCTCACCAAGAACCCCTCGGAAAAAGACACCGAAGAACAGCTGGACAAGATGGAGGACGATGTGTTCCTGAGGTGCATTGAGACTAATATGCTGAGTGATTTGACCCTCCAAGGAATCGAGGCCATCTCCAAGGTGTACATGCACAAACCAACGACCGATGACAAGAAAAGAGTGGTCGTTCAGCCGGATGGATCCTATCAAATGGTCTCGGAATGGCTCTTGGAAACTGATGGAACTGCTCTTTTGAGGGTAGGTGGGGCTTTGGACTTGAAAAAACGGAATTTTTTGGAATTTTTTTTTCGGTTTTTGGGATAAAAATTGATTTTTTAAAGTTATTTTGGAAAAATTGAAGGGGCTAATGGGTTTTAAATTACAAATTGGAGTATTTTATTTTTATCTGAGAACGATTTTTGTAAAGAAAAATTAAGAAAAGACAATGATTTTTGAGGTTTTTTGAGGAAATTGCCCGTTTTTGAAATTTTTTAAAATGTTTTTGTTTTTTCGTAAATTTAAGAAACTTTAGGTATTGAAAATAGTAAATAGAGGTATTAGATAAAATTTTGGGAATGGTTTTTGTCCAAAAAATTTTGAAAAACGATGTATTTTTGAGATTTTTTCAATTTTTTTAATAAAATTTTAATGAAAAATTTGAAGATTTTACGGTGATTTTGGCTTTTTCAGGTGCTCAGTGAGGAATATGTGGACCCCTCGAGAACCACCACCAACGATATTTGCGAAATTTTCGAGGTCCTGGGAATCGAAGCGGTCCGAAAATCGATCGAAAAAGAGATGAATCAAGTCATTTCCTTCGACGGTTCCTACGTCAACTACCGTCATTTGGCCCTCCTTTGCGATGTGATGACCGCCAAAGGCCATCTGATGGCCATTACCCGGCATGGAATCAACCGACAGGAAGTGGGCGCCCTGATGAGATGCTCGTTTGAGGAGACTGTGGACATCTTGATGGAAGCCGCAATGCACGCCGAAGTGGACCCCGTCAAAGGCGTCTCCGAAAACATTATGCTCGGCCAACTGGCCAAGGCCGGAACCGGCTGCTTCGACCTGGTTCTGGACTCGGAAAAGTGCAAACTCGGCATGGAAATCCAAGCGAACACGATCGGAATGATGGGCGGCGCCTTCTTCAACGACGGAATGAGCTCCCCGGCATCGAGTTCCATGTCCCCAAGCCGCACCCCCTGGCAGGGCGGCCCCACCGGCGCCACCCCCTCCTACGCCGGCGACGGCGCCTGGAGCCCCATGGGACCGGGCGGAGTCACTCCAGGCGGAGCATTCTCCCCAGTCGGCGCCGGCTCCGACTCCGGCTTCAGCCCCGCCTATAGTGAAGCGTTCAGCCCGAGAGGCGCGCAATCCCCTGGAATGTCGCCCGGATACAGCCCACGCCCCGGACAATCCCCAGCATATGCGATGTCCCCATCCTACAATCCGGGAGGAGGATACTCACCAACTTCCCCATCTTATTCACCAACCTCCCCTGCATATAACCCATCATCGCCGAGATACTCCCCAACCAGCCCGAGCTACTCACCCACGAGCCCGAGCTACTCCCCAACGAGTCCGAGCTACTCACCCACAAGTCCGAGCTATTCCCCGACTAGCCCCAGCTACTCCCCCACCAGCCCCAGCTACTCGCCCACCTCCCCGGCCGCCGGAAACGCCTACTCCCCGTCGAGTCCCAGCTACTCACCGACCAGCCCACGGTACTCCCCGACGAGTCCGAGTTACTCCCCAACCAGCCCAAGTTATTCACCGACCAGCCCGAGCTACTCGCCGAGCTCACCGAGTAAGTTGGATTATATTGTAGTAGACAGGAAGAAATTGGTGAATTTAGAAAATTGAAGGGGTTTTAGAAGGAAATTGGTGTTGAAAAGGAATGTTTAGACAATAGCAGAGGACTGGCAAGCATTTTGGAGATGTTTTCCTGAGTTTTGAGAAATAATGTAGGGCGCAGCTCGCGAAAAAACTTTTGCTCAAAAGTCAAAGAAAAAGTATAGAATAAGATTTGTAATGTTGGTATATGGGCATTTATGCAGTTTTTAAGGTTTTGCAAAAATTTTTGAGGTTAACTTAGGGCGCAGCTCGCGAAAAAAAATTTTGTCAAAAAGTCAAACAAGAGGTGTAGAATAAGGTTTGCAATGATAGTATATGATCCTTTATGCAGTTTTTAAGGCTTTGCAAAAATTTTGGAGGTTAACTTAGGGCGCAGCTCGCGGAATTGAATTTTTTGAAAAATCTGGGAAATGTTTTAGGGATCGCTTCAAAATGAAAAAATGGCAAGAATAGAGAGTAATGAGCGATTTCAGGCTACTCCCCATCCTCCCCACGGTACTCACCCAGCTCTCCGGCCTATTCTCCATCATCTCCACAGTACTCGCCGACCAGCCCACAGTACAGTCCGTCGAGCCCGCAATACTCGCCGTCCAGTCCTCAATACAGTCCGTCGAGCCCGTCCTACTCGCCCAGCTCACCCCAATACTCACCGAGCTCACCGCAGTACTCACCGAGCAGTCCAAGGGTAGGATAATATAATTTGATATGATTTTTGTTGAATTTGATCAAATTTTTGAGTTTTTGATGTGATTTTTTGGTGGGAATAGAAAATTAGGGTGTGAAAAGAAGTAATAATCGATTTGAGTTGGTGAATAATAGTTTTTGTTGCAGTACTCCCCCTCATCTCCACAATATTCCCCATCCAGCCCACAATACAGCCCGTCGAGCCCGCAGTACTCGCCCTCCAGCCCGCAGTACTCACCCTCCAGCCCACAATACAGCCCATCCTCTCCACAATACTCTCCATCGAGCCCACAGTACCCATCAACCAGTAAACAACACGAAAAACGCAGCTAAACCCAAAAAAATCGAAAAAATCCCCGATTTTTGTCGAAAAATCCCCAAAAAAGATGTAAATTGGAAGGAAAATGCAGGTGGATGGTGTAGAATGGAAGAATATTGGAGAAGCAGAAGATTACAATGGATTTTGCTACCAATTATATCTATTTTACAGTAGTTTTTTGTCTTTTTTTGTTGGTTTTGCAGTATATTTTATTTTCTCTTGGTCTCCGTTCTGAATACCGCTATTGGTGTAAAAGAAAAACACAAAAAAAGGGTCGTCTATTGCGTTAACATATTTGTCATTTTCTATTCGAACTAAATAAATGTTGTTAATTTATGGAAGTTTGAAGTTTGAGGATTTTTCTTTGATTTCGCAGCGGATTTCCGTTGAAAATACTTGATTTTTTGGGGATTTTGGGATGTTTGAAGATGAAGGGTGGTGTGAAGATTAATTTGGAATGTTTTGGAGGCGAATGTTTGCTGATTTTTTTGGAAATTTTGAAGATTTTTGAATTTTAGCCCGGAAATTTGGAATTTTTTTTATTTTTTGATTTTTTAGGCACGTTTTGAAGGAAATTTTGTGGTCTCGAGTTAATTTGAGGCTATTTAAATATAGCTGAATCGAAATACAATAAAAATAGGGAAAGATTTGTTGATTTTTTTGGAAATTTTGAAGATTTTTGAATTTTAGCCCGGAAATTTGGAATTTTTTTTATTTTTTGGATTTTTTATCCAAATTTTGAGGGAAATTTTGTGGTCTCGAGTTATTTTGAGGCTATTTAAATATAGCTGAATCGAAGATTTGTATAATTTTTTGGAAATTTCGAAGATTTTTTGGATTTTAGGCCGGAAATTTGGAAATTTTTTATTTTTTGGATTTTTTGTCCAAATTTTGAAGGAAAATTTGTGGTCTCGAGTTGTTTTGAGGCTATTTAAATATAGCTGAATCAAAATTTAATAAAAATAGGGCAAGATTTGTTGATTTTTTATCCAATTTTTGAAGGAATTTTTGTGGTCTCGACTTAATCTGAGGCTTTTTAAATATAGCTGAATCAAAATTGAATAAAAATAGGACAAGATTTGTTGAATTTTTTGGAAATTTCGAAGATTTTTGAATTTTAGCCCGGAAAATTAGAAAATTTTTTGTTTTTTTGATTTTTTATCCGATTTTTGAAGGAAGTTTTGTGGTCTCGAGTTATTTTGAGGCTTTTTAAATACAGCTGAATCAAAATTGAATAAAAAATTTTAGGGTATCCGCAAAAAATCTCAAATTTTCGACCTTATTTTAGATGTCAGAACAGGCCACCAAAAAAGTGGAGCAACTCGAGCTCCATCTCTTCGGCTCCGTCGCCAAACAAACGTCGGATCAAGAGGAAACGGACTCGGATCGGTCCGGCTCCGACGACGAAGAAGCGGCCCAAATTCGGCCGAAAAAACGCAACGCAAAAAAGCTCAAAGAACCCGAGCCACAGCCGAAAAAAGCTAATACTGAGTGTGTTTGGAGCGATGAAGACGATGCGGATGTGTCGTTGAGCACATCATTCATCCGAGAAAATGCTCCGGGACTGTTGACGGGAAAGGATTTGACCAAGAAGGAGAAAATTGAAGTAAATTTTGGGAATTTTTGTATTTTTTTGGGAAATGTTGGCCATTTTTTGGGGAGAAAAGAGTTTTTTGGGTGGGAAATGAAAGATTAGGAGGTGATATGTTATTTAGAAACAGATTTTGTGGGTAAAATACGGATTTTAGCTATTAATTTTTTGGAAATTGAGGAAAAATTTTTTGATTTTTTGCTTTTTTCAATTTTAGAGAACCTTAAAACCCCAAAAAACAATAGAAAATAAAAAAAACTCTAAAAATCCACATAAATTTTTATCCAAAACTTTTGGATTGTCCAGAAAGTTCGTTCGTTTCTTTATTCTTTAGTTTTACCGGTATTTGTTTGCTCTTTGGCAAATTGTATATATTTATTTGATACGTCTTTTTCTCCTCTACAAAGCTGTGTTTCTTTATTTTTTCTTTTTTGAAAATTTAATTTTTTATTGTTTTTCGCAGGCAAATTTTTGACTCCTGCATGGTTCATTTTTGAGCCCGAAAAATAATAAAAAATTAAATTTTCAAAAAAACTTAAAACACAGCTTTGTAGAGGAGAAAAAGCCGTATCAAAAAAATATTTACACTTTGCCAAACAACAAACAAATCCTTGTAAAACAAAAGAATAAAAAAACGAACGAACTTTCTGGACAACCCAATAGTTTTCGATGAAAATTTATGTAGATTTTTTGGGGTTTTTCTTATTTTTTTGTGTTTTTGAGGGTTTTAAGGCTCTCTAAAATTGAAAAAAGCAAAAAATCAAAAATTTTCCTCAATTTCCAAAAAATTAATAGCCAAAATCCGTATTTTACCCACAAAATCTATTTCTGAATTACATATCACCTCCTAATCCCTCACTTCCCACCAAAAAACTCTTTTCTCCAAGAAAAATCTCCAAAAAACACCAAAAATTCCCAAATTTGGATGAAAATTCATGTAGATTTTTTGTTTTTTTATGTTATTTGTGTTTTTGAGGGTTTTAAGGCCCTCTAAAAAATATAAAAAATTTGCATGTCTTAAAAAGCACAGACATACGAGCAATTTCCAGAAATACTCCTCCGAAATCCGCGATCAGTTCATCGAACGAGCCCGTCTCGGCCAGAAGCCGGAATGGCTCGCGAAAGCCGAAGAAGAGCACGCCACCCAGAAGCCGGCCGAGGATTCGGACGAAGAGGACGCCCTTCAAGGCCTGTTTGGACTCCAAAAGTCGGCCTCGAAATATATTGGACGTCCCGCGACGTTGCCCAAGGCTTATCTTCAGTCCTCGAAACTGCCCGACCCTACCATGGCCAATCGAAAAGAGGTATGTAGAGGTTAATTTTGGGACGAGTAGAAACGATAGGGCTTGAAATCCCGGGATTTTTACAGATTCTAAAGCAAAAATGAGATTTAGCCGGGGCGCAGCTCGCCAAAATTTTTTTTTGATTTAATTGTGTTTTAAATACGATTTTTTGTTCTGTGGACGCATGAGCATTTCATCTATGCAATTTTTTAAATTTTTCGTTTTTATCCATCCGAAGCTAGGGCGCAGCTCGGAAAATTGAATTTAATCGAATTTGGACTAAAATTCGATTGAATAATAATAGTGAACGTCTGAAAAGCGTTTTCAACGCAAAATTAATAAATTTTAATGCATTTCAAAACGAAGCTAGGGCGCAGCTGGCAATATCCAAAATTATTTGAGTTTGCATTTTTGGGAATTTTGATGGTTATAATTGATTTTTTTCAGGGAAATAAGATAAAAGTCGTTCTATTCCACCCCACAGAACCGGTCCTTGTCACCGCCAACACCTCCGGTCATGTTCAGTTGTATCGAGTCGCCAGATCGCCAACCGACCTCCAAAAGCCAACAGAATCCCCATTCCTGCAAGAAATACGCGTCAAGAGGTTCAAAGTGGACTCGCTGGATTTTTACGACGATGCAACTTCGTTGTTTTTATCGTCCAATCGAAATGTGAGGCTTGATGTTATGGATAATATAATTTATATGAAATGATTGTAATATTTTGGGTTTTAGGAGTTCTTCTATCAATATAATCTCATGGACGGTCATATTGAACAACAGTTATACCCGAAAAGTGAGTTTTGAGAGGGCATTTTGGGTTACTGTAGTTTTCGTGGCGGGACCCAAATTTTTTTGAAAATTGAGATTTTTTGGGAAAAAAGGAGTTGTAAAGATGTAGAGAGGAAGAATATACAGAAGGAATTATTTTTTATTTTATTTTAGACCGAGTTTTTGTCGAAATTTTTTTTTTTTTTTTTTTTTTTGATTTTTTTAAATATTTTTTTTTTGATTTTTAGACATTGCCAGAGAATGGAAGACCGGCCTCAGGTCCCGTTTGTCCTCTGACGGCGCACTGGTCGCGTTTCTAGGCCAAAACGGCGAACTTTTCGTCTTCCACAGAGCCACAATGGAACATTTGCATACGTTTATGGCCTCCTCCAGACTTGCGGACGCCCGCTTCTCCCCGTTGGACCGAAATACGATCATAGGACTCACAGACTCCGGCGAAGGCTTCATTTGGAATCTGAAGGCCAAAGGAGAACAGAAAGTTTTCCGAGACCAGGGCGCAGTTCGCTGCACAACGTTGAGGCTGAGCGAGAATGGACAGTTCATCGCGATTGGGTAGGTGATTTAGGGTCTCTGTGTATGATTTATAAGCTAAAAAAATTTTGGGAGGTTTTTGAAATTTTTTTAATTGGCAGCCTGCGCCCATGCTTGAAGAAAATTTTTTGGAATATTGGTTCTTTTAAAGTTTTTTTTGCGTTGTTTTATCTTTATTGAAGAAGTTTTTTCACAGAAAATGATCAACTTTTTTTGTACAGCGGATTTTACAACGGCGAGCTGCGCCCAGACTTGAATTTAAAACACCCCATAATTTTGCAAATTTTCAGCCAAAACACTGGAATTGTGAATGTTTACGACTTGAAGACAGTGAAAAGTGAGGAGAACCCAACTCCGCTGTATGTCTTCACCAATCTTACCACCTCTGTGACCTTCCTACAATTCAACATGGGCTCGGAAATGCTGGCGTTTGGATCGGATGAAAAGGTAGGCACTTTTAAATTTAGTGTTAGTGGATGTAAAGGGAGGTGTAGTAGGTTTTAGCGAAATTTGGAGGGATTTTTTATTTGACGAGCTGCGCCCTAACATCAGATTTTTGGATCGAGTTTTTGGTGTGGAAATTTTTCTGAAGATGTGTGAGGGATTAAATGGAATGTTAAGAAGTTATTTTTGGGTTTAGAGTGGAAATTGGAGAGTTTTTCAGAGTTCGAGCTGCGCCCGAGCTTCAGAATTTTTTCGTTATTTTAAAAATTCAAGTTGAATTTGAGGATGATTTGGACTAAAATGGAGCTAAAAAGCGTTGATAGTCCCTTTTTTATAACGATTGAGCGTTTTTATTTCATGGCGAGCTGCGCCCGAGCTTCGAAATTTTTTCGTTATCTTGTAAATTCAAGTTGGATTTGAGGAAGATTTAGGCTAAGGCGAGCTAAAAAAACAATGATAATTCATTTTTCATAACGATGGGGCGTTTTTATGAGATGGCGAGCTGCGCCCGAGTCTCTGAATTTTTATCCAATTTTTTTAGCTTTTAAGATCAGAATGACTTTTAAAGGTCTTAACAGAGTAGCAACAAAATTTTGGAAGTGTTTACGTATTTTTTTAATTGTTAAAATTGTACATATCCATTAAAATGACGTCATTTCCAATTCACAATACAGTAATTCTCGATTTTCAGCCAATGCACTACCGAATTGCCCACTTACAATCGGGAACGGTCTTCAAAAACTTCCCACCCAAGAATGAAATGCTCTCGAAGGACATTGTGACCTGTGCCGACTTCTCTCCCCACTCCGCTTTCGTCGCTTTCGGCACCTCGAAAGGCGCCCTCCGCCTTTATCGGTTGAGCTATTTCGACAAATATTGAATCGTTATCACCCATACTTGTTATTGTTACTCATCATTTGCTGTTTGGACCGTTGTTTGAGTTGTTGAAATAAAGAAAACCCAAAGTTTCGCACGTATTCTCCGGAGAAGGGGGTTTTCTCCATAATTTACTGTAATTTCTTAAATTTTTGGAAGTTTTTTTATGTGAAAAATTTTTTTTGACGCCGCGACTTTTTGGGTCAGCGATACTATGGATTGCGCCAGTTCTTCTTTGTATGCATGGTAGGCTAGGAGAAGGCTTAGTTAGTAGAAATAATAAGATTGATCGTGTCCTAGGATAACTTATCACCGTGTTTGAAGCATTTTACATGCACTTACACCAATAATATCTAGATAAAAGTTACGGATCTTTATTTTTTGCCACAAATTTTGGTCTTTTATATGTTACAGTAGCTCAAGGTAAAGAAAACAAACGTTAGAAAAAGCTAAGATTAGAAAAAGTGGGAATATTGAAAGCCTCCGCCGACCATCCAACGGCTTTGTCAGGCCTGGTATGCAGTTCCTACAACCTTTTTTTGGGTATCCATCTGCCCAACACCCCGTATCGACCGATTTTGTGTTGACCCGAACTAAAGTATCGTGACCCGAGAAGTCGGGACGCGAATGGAAGTTATTATTAGACGGGCCAAAAAGTCTTGACATGTTTTCGCACCGTGCGGGCGCATGAATTCGGCGTTGCGACGAGGTGTCGCGCGATAAAAATTTGGCGGGGTGCGAATGAAGAACGCACTGTGCGTTGTTTACCCTTTTTCAAAACAATCTTTTTGCACTGTGCGGTGTCGCATTGCACCGTAAATTTTTCTTGTCGCCGCGCGACAAATCTCATGCACGACGGCGCACTGTGCGGACATGTCAAGACTTTTTGGCCCGCCTAGTACCTCTGTACGGTCTAATTGAAGGGTTGTGATACTAAAAACATTGAAAAAATTAGTTTAGAACAAAATGACTTTATTTGCACTGTGCAATTCCTTGCTTTTTGCACCGTAGGCTTTCTTCGGCTGTCACTCGCACCCTGACTTTTTTCGCACAATGCAAACACCAAAAATCAGTCCGGCGGCTTTCCGGCAGGACTACTATTACTCTTTTTCAAAAGTGCATAGACTTTTTTCGTGTGCCACACCGTGCACAAAACACTTTTTTGCGGGGTGCATTTAACCCTCTTACCGTGCAAGTCCAATTTATGGGTGGGTTGAAGCAGAATGCCAAAGGCTTGCACGATCCTAGAGCTTTCGTGGTGAGGCCAAACAATGGTGAAAAATCTTAAAAAATATTGTAAAATACGATTGAATTAATTGTTCATATTATGTCGAGTAGAATATAATAATAAAGAGTCAATGTTTTCATGGTGGGACCAAAAAAGGTGAAAAATGTAAAAAAAAGTTTAAATACGGTCTTTTGGAGTGACCAGTTCGTCATATAAAGGCTATTACGGTGATTGAAACATAATGCCAAAGAGTCAAAGTTTTCGTGCTGGGACCAAAAAATAAAATAAATACGATCATTTGCAGTGACCAGCGTATCATAGAGAGGCCGTTACTACCGTTGAAACATAATGCCAAAGGTTCTCAAATTTTCGTGGTGAGACCAAAGCAAGATTCAATTTCATACTGTAATGTCCGCGTTTTTACGATCTGTATTTCCTCACTTTTCACACGTTTCCGCGATGTTATTAGTGCAGTAACACCGAAACTATCCGCTTATCGGGCGGCCAGACAGCCCATGACTAAGTGTTTCTCAAGAAGAATTTTTTGCTGTACTCCTTTTCTTCTTTCTTTTTTCTCCCCATTTTTCTTATCGCGTCTCGTGTCGGAAACACGGGCCCGTCTCGATAAATGGCGCGATCAGCACGTGGGATCGTAAATCAATGAAAAAATGGGGTTTACACAAAAGTGGGCGGGGCCAACCGCGGTTTTTTGGGGCTTTATTTAACCGATTTTTTCTGGACGAAAATGGTAATTGAGTGATTGCGGGAGTGTGAATTCATTTTTGGGGGAGAAATTCAGTAATTTTAGGATGTTTAGAAAGATTTTTCCAATTCAGAAAAAAAAATTTTTTTTGAAAAATTTTTTTGAATTTAGGATGTTTCAACGTCTAAATTAAGGTAAAATATAGCTAGGTAGTTGATATATTACCATGATATAACTTTTTTACCTCTATTTTACCTTCTTTTAGTCATAAAAAATTCAAAAAAGTCCCATTTTTTCAAAAAAAAAGAAAAAAAAAATAAATAAAAAATGAAAAATTTTCCCAAAAAAATCGGGCAAAATTGCATGAAAATGTCGTAAAATTATTCTATTCACTTTTTCACTACATTTTCCATGCAATTTTTACTAATAAAACAGCTTTTTTCTTGCTTGTTCTACCAAAATTCAGAAATTTTAAAAATTCCAAATTCCACAAAAATATCCGATATTCAGATTCTAATGGTTTATTCGAGTTTCTTGCTGTACTGCTCCCAGATTTCGTCGATTTTGTGGACGGCCGGATCCACCACCTTCTTGTACATTCGGAGCGCGCCACGAGTTTGCGGCGCGGCCAAGTAGATCAGGTAGATGGTCTGAAAAGAAGACGTGTATTAGCATTTGCAAAAAATTTTTGAAATGACGTCATTTTTGGAAAATTTTCAAAATTTCTTGGGTCCCACCACGAAATATTTTTGGTGCGTGGCATTGTGTTTCAACCCTCAAAATATATCTCTAGAAACTTTTGTCGTATTTTAGCAACTGTAAAAATTCAGACAATTTTTTGTAATGAAAAAAGTGTTTTTTGGGTCCCACCACGAAATATTTTTGGTACTTGGCATTGTGTTTCAACCTTCAAAATAACTAATAGAACTATAATCGCTAATCGTATTTTAACAACTATAAAAGTTCAGAAACGGCATTTTTGTAATGAAAAAAAATTTCTTTGGGTCCCACCACGAAGGCATTGCCACAGCTTGGCATCGCATTTTGACTCTTAAATTGGTCAGTTTGCATATTCTAAAAACCAAAAAGCCTCATAAATAACGTAATTTTACAACTTTATCGACTTGTTGAGTCCCGCCCCGAAAACCTTCAAACCTTTGGCATTCCGTTTCAACTCGCTAAATCGCTGAAAAATTTACTGGATTGAATAACTAGTCAACTTTTCTAAACCCTTTTAAAGTTTCCTAAAAATTTTGAGTCCCGCCACGAACTCCTTCAAACCCTTTGGCTTTGTGTTTCAAACAGCCAAATCGCTGCAAAATTTACTGTATTGAATAGCTAGTCGACTTTTATAGACCCTTTTAAAATCTCCTAAAAATTTTCGGTCCCGCCACGAAAACCTTCAAACTCTTTGGCATTCCGTTTCAACCCGCTAAATCGCTTCAAAATTTACTACATTGGATAATAAATTCACTTTTCTAAACCCTCATACATTTTCCTACAAATTCTGGGTCCCGCCACGAAACCCTTAAAACCTTTGGCATTCCGTTTAAACCACTTTGGCATTCCGTTTCAGCCCGCTAAATCGCTTTCCAACCGCCCAAAACAAAAGATTTCCCCGCACCCACCTTGACCAGCCAGTAGATGGGGAACCAGCTGCAGATGCGTTCGGCAAAGAAGTCGATCAGCGAAAAGAAGGCGAAGCAGGTCCAATAGATGAGCCACTGGGTGTCATCCTCCTTGCCCTCGGTGCGCACCGCCTTCACGGACGCGTACGCCGGGTACGCGAACCCGATCAGGTTGCAGATCAGCTCGGCCAGCGAGCCCACAATCAAGTAGAGACCGACCACGCCCAAAACTCCATAGGCGATCTGAAAAATGCGGCGATTAGACGGGGAAATTGACATTTTTTTGGGGAAAATATAGTTTATAAGGTGGTAAATAGAAGGTATAAACTCTATATGGTATAATAAAGAGGCTATTGAAGTAAAAACATTGAAAAAAAATAGTTTTTAGGACCAAATGACCTTATTTTAGACGAGGTCAAAATGGTGAAAAATGGATGGTTTTTTTGGGGGTTATAGGGCGGGAATGCCCTTTGGGGACAAAAATCAGGCTGTTCTCGGACTTAAGGCTAGACGAACTTTGTAAAGGAGTGGATCTTTGCAAATGAAAATGAGTTTTTTTGGGGTAAAATGACCTAAAATTAGAGACGACCGGCATTAGGACGGAAAATTAAGTTTAAATTTTTGTCTTTTTAATGTCTAAAGACTTCCAAAGATCTTGTAGAGAAGATCTGAGTACTTTTTCACATCGGACCCTCCTCGATTTCCCTCAAAATTTCCCCCAAATTACCCTCTCCCTCTTGACTCCGGTGCTGCCCTCGATCTTCGCCAACGCCATGCACAACAGCGGGTTGCCGCTGCTGTCGTAGAGCGTCTTCTTGAGCGCCTCGTCAATGTCGCTCAGCGAGCGCACTTCGCCGGCCGGCGGACCGCCGGCGGCGGCTTCGGGCGCGGCCGGCGGCGCCTCGGCGGGGGCGGGTGGATCATTGGCCTGGGACATGACTTCGGTGGTGGATCAGTGGAGTCGAAACGACCGCTCAGCAACTTATTCTTTCCGGGAATACCGCTGATTTTGCAGACGGAAAAAATCAGAAATCTTTGGGGAAATTTGCATAAATTTGAATTTTTTTGTGAAATTTTTTATTTTTTTTGATATTCGGGTAGAATATGAAAATTTAGGGGTGAAAAGGCAACATTCAAAGAAAATAGGGTGGAAATGTGGCTAAATTTTGACTAAAATTGGACCATTTCTATATTATACTAGACAAAAACGGATTTTTTTTTTTGAAAATTGCCCTAAGGGCTTTGAATTTGCATCTTTCTTTCATTAAAATTTCTGTGACGGTTACTGAGAACACATTAAAATTCCAAAAAACAAGTTTTATGTGATATTTAGGGCCTTGAAACGGAATGCCAAGGTTGGCGGGAAATTTTAATTTTTGAATTTTTTACAACAACAAAAGGGCTAATTGTAAAATACGTTAAATTAAAGTTTGGAATTTTGATTTTTCCGACGCTTTAATGAAGATAACGGAGAAAAATTATATTGTACTTGGTACCTGATGTAATAATCCGCTTATCTAATCCCAATTTTGAAATTTCTGTTTGCTCATCTTCTATTATTACTTTCCTTTTCTCCCCATTATCATCGTAATGGCACTGCGAATTCGTCCGCTTATCGGCGAGTCCACTTGTAATCCTATTCGTTGAAATAATTTGGTCTTATCATTGCGCATACTTTGTGTGTTGAACTTTGCTCTGATTCGGGGGGTTTTTTGCGGAAAATAGTGATTATTTTTTCTCTCTACGTCGTACTTTACCATGTAGCAACATTTCTAGCTGGTTTTATGGGATTTTTGGGTCATTCAAGTTTTCGTGGCGAGACCCAAATCGATTAAAAAGATCGAAATTTGGCATTTTGACGAGGCTAATTTTAATCTCATTAATTCGAAACTACTTTTTTATAAAGGCTAGGCTCGATTTTAACTAATTTCCAGACGTTTTCCAGGAATTCAGGTTTTCGTTGTGGAACCCAAAAAATCTTTAGAAATTATAAAAAATGACTGGGTCTACCTCTGAAATACTTATTTAGTCTCGAATATTAACAGCGAGGTGATTTCCACTTGTTTCCAGCTGTTTTTAGCAGTATCAAGTTTTCGTGGTGGAACCCAAAAAATCTCAATAAAATATAAAAAATGACTGGGTTTACCTCTGAAGTACTTATTTAATCTTGTATGTTACTTGCGAGGTGATTTTCATTCGTTTCCAGATGTTTTTTGCAATATCAAGTTTTCGTGGTGGGACCTGAGAAGGTTGAAAATACGGAGGTTCAGAGGTTATCTAGTCGTCTGACAATATCATAGTATGTCTTTTTAGACTCCCTACTGTTTATTTCACCGCTAATCGGCAGTTTAAATAGCATATCATGTTTTCGTGGTGGTACCTAAAACTTATTTTTATTTTTTGAAATACTCCGATTATCTTCTCCACGACGGTTTTGTAGGGGTTTCTAGTGATAAAAAAAGCAAATGCATGCCTTTTTGCAATCAACTACGTCACGATTTTTCGAGCACCGCACGTTTTTTGCTCTTTTTCCCCGATTTTAACGAAAAAATCGCCAAACATTTCAACGAAATCATACTCCAATCACCACAGAGCGTGGCGAAAACAACTCTCATGCCTCTCACAGTTCGTGAGCATTCGCATGACACCCAAACTTTATCGAATACCGTTTCGGGTGAGCCTTTTTTGGGGTGTGTCGCGTATTCTCTGAGTGTTTTCGTTGGATCCGATTTCTCGCTTTCGATTATCACTTGTTTTTGAACATGTTGGGTTGTAAACGAGGCCTGACAAATGGCATGTTGGAAACATTGTTTAGTGGGGGAATGGCCTTGAGACAGAGTTGGGAAAAATTGGTTTTTAAAGTTGATTTACAGGAAAAAAACGATCAAAAGTCTCCGCCGAATACACCGCATTCCGCGTCGGCGTAGAAGAAAATCTTTTTAGACAAAAAACCGTATATATCCTTGTTTCTAATGCAAAAAAATTTTTTTGGATATCGTGACTGCGCGCCGAGAAATCGACGAAACCTTTCCGCGCAATTTCTTGAAACACCCTGTATTGTAGCGCCCAAGAGCGACGCTCAGATTTCGATGAAACTTGGCACAAAATTTTTTTGAGTAGCACGTGGTCCTGCCGTGTGTTCCAAATTGAAATTTGAGCCTTCGATGGACTTTTTATCGGGCTGTATCACAATTTTTTAGGGCTGCATTGATAAGTATGTAAAATAAAAAAAAATACAGGGGGGCAATTATATTGTACTCCCCAAGTGGGAAGCTCAGATTTTGATGAAACTTGGCACAAATTTAAAATAATTTTTTCTAACACATATGCGAGATTTTTAGCTTGCGGTTTGCAAAAAAAAATTGAGATTTTTAGATCGAAAGTTGGAAAAAATGTAAACTTTTTTTCGAATTTCTCCATGAAAAGTTTCATGTCTATTTCTATCATAGAGGGTGATGTTTCCACAAAAAACAAATTTTTTTCACGCGAAACTGGCAAAGATATCGCCAAAAAGTGTTTTTCTCTCTGACCACTCCGCATTTTGTGCACTCTCTCGTGAGAAGTTCTGTGAAACACTTTTTGGCTATACTCCGCGTACAATGTTTTGACCCCCCTTCTAACTCGGTCCAAAGTGTACCAATTGGGACCAAATTTGGTATGTAGTCTACTCACAGGCTAGTAACAAAAAACAATATGGCAGGACATACCTTATAGTTGAATTTCAAAATCTAAGGGCAATTTTCAAAAATCACCTTAAAAAATCGAGGAAAAAGTTTTGACCCCCCTTAAAAAAAAGTTAGATATCGCCAGCGGATGCCACGCAAACCTATTGTAATCGACGTCCCATACCTGAATACAGGTTAATAAATGGTTTTCCGATGAATTCTTCGTTGCATTTGAGGATTCAACGCGTTAAACCGTTTTTGATGTAGAGGTGCCCAAAATGGTAAAAATCTTGCCCTAACGTTTTCCTAGAGCTCTAAATTGGGTTTATATTATGTTATTTAGACCTGTATTTACCTTCTCCTTTCGATAACAGTGCATGGTGGCCTGGCGGTGTAGATTCGGCAGACACCCTCTTGTCATGCCCAGCTTTGGTGAGCCATTTGCTCTTTGACTCAAGGTCCAGACGTGGTCGTTAGGTCCTCAATGTAATCCTGAGACTCCTATTTACTCTCAGTAATGTAAAATGTTTTGATTTGACACGTTTTGTAATGGGTTTCATTCACCTTAATCTTAAGTTTGCCGTTACTGTAGATGACCCCGAGTACGATGACATCCCCACCTCCCATTTGGCGTTTCATACGTCTCAAATGAGTATGGTGGGTGCTGTAGCGTCTTAAATTACCTGGTCCATCAAATGAAAGCCGTTTTTGGTGGCTAAAAATCCATTTGAAAAGCGCGGGTTTTTCGTTAAGGTGCAGATCGGCGAAGTTGCGCCTGCAAACCATATGAGACCGTGTCAGCGGGAGTCTATTCTTTGTTTGAGAGTAAGTAGGGGTCTCAGGATTACATTGAGGACCTAACGAAAACATCTCGACCTTGAGTAAAAGAGCAAATGGCTTACCAAGGCTGGGCATGACAAGCGGGTATCTGCCGAATCTACACCGCCAGGCCACCATGCACTGTTATCGAAAGGAGAAGGTAAATACAGGTCTAAATAACATAATATAAACCCAATTTAGAGCTCTAGGAAAACGCTAGGGCAAGATTTTTATCATTTTGGGCACCTCTACGTCAAAAACGGTTTAACGCGTTGAATCCTCAAATGCAACGAAGCATTCAACGGAAAATTATTTATTAACCTGTATTCAGGCATGGGACGTCAATTGCAGTAGGTTTGGGCGACACCCGCTGGCGATATCTAACTTTTTTTCAAGGGGGGTCAAAACTTTTTCCCCGATTTTTTAAGGTGATTTTTGAAAATTGCCCCTGGATCTTGAAATACAACAAAATGGTTTGTCTTGCTATGTTATTTTTTGTTACTAGCCTGTAAGTAGACTACATACCAAATTTGGTCCCAATTGGTACACTTTAGGCCGAGTTAGAAGGGGGGTCAAAACATTGTACGCGGAGTATATATCTCTGTCAGTTTTGCGGGGAAAAAATTGATTTTTTGTGAAAACATTACCCTGTATGGTAGAAATAGTTATAAAATTTTTCATGGAGAAATCCGAAAAAAAAATTTTTACATTTTTTCCGATTTTTGATATAAAAATCTCGATTTTTTGTAAGCTAAAAATCTCGCATATGTCTTAGAAAAAATTATTCTCAATTTGCGCCAAGTTTCATCAAAATGTGAGCGTCCCACTTGGGCAGAACAATATAATTTTTCCCCTTACTTTTTTTTATTTTGCATACTTATCAATGCAGCTCAAAAAAATTGTAATACAGCCCCGATAAAAGGTCCATCGAAGCCTCAAATTTCAATTTGGAACACGCGGCGAGACCACGTGCAACTTAAAAAAAATTGTGCCAAGTTTCATGAAAATCCGAGCGTCCCATTTGGGCGCTACAATACAGGGTGTTTCAAGAAATTGCGCGGAAAGTTTTCGTCGATTTCTCGGCGCTCAGCCACGATATTCAAAAAATTTTTTTTGCAGTAGAAAGAAGGATATGGGCGGTTTTTTGACTAAAAAGGTTTCTTTCTACGCCGACGCGGAATGCGGTGTATTCGGCGGAGACTTTTGATCGCTTTTTCCGCTGTAAATCAACTTTAAAATAAACCCCTTTCCCAACTCTGTCTCAAGGGCTCCCCTTAATTTTTTTATTTTGCATACTTATCAATGCAGCCCTAAAAAATTGTAATACAGCGCCGATAAAAGGTCCATCGAAGCCTCAAATTTCAATTTGGAACACGCGGCGGGACCACGTGCCGTCTGCTCAAACATTCCCCCCCTCGTGTGTTGCACAAGGGGATTGTTTAATTTCTTTTTTACGATTTACTCTCTCACAATTAAAAGAATTAAAAGTGAAGTTTCGATTCTAAGCCCAATATCCTCCCTGAGGCCAAGATATGGCCAAAAATAACCTTTCTCTGACCGCCCTCCGCATTTCGCGTACTCTCTCGGCGGCAAAGATCGTTCAATATCTCGGCTGTTCGTGCAAATCGCGAGCTGAAATTTGCAGGAATTGATATGTGCTCTATAGCCAGTGTGTGTGCAAAATTTGAATTATTTTTGAGACTAATTTTTTTTTGAAAAAAAAATTTTTTTCCAAAAAAAAATTTTTTATTTTTTTTGACTGGATCAAAACTAAGCTTGGCAGAAGTTAGAAATAAAAAACATTGATAACCCCTTTGTTTGATTCCCCGCCTGTCGCATGTCAATCGGTTATATGCTGACCCCGAAAAAAGGACACGGTCCGTCGGGTTCGAATTCTCCCCCCAATCAAAGAACCTCGGAAAATTTATCAACCCCAGTTTTCTTCAAATTTTGCAGATAAACTCTCCACAGGTCACATAGTAGTTCGCAAAACTTTTAGCTCATCATTTGCGCTGAGAGCCGGGATATTCAACGACCTTTGCGGCCGAGAGAGTACGGGAAATGAGGAGAGTGGTCAGAGAAAAGATTTTTTTCTGTTGTAAACTTGCTAGTTTCGCGTGAGAAAATTGGTTTTTTCTTGTGGAAATTGTTTCTCTTGACAGTAGAAAAAGCCATTTCGAAATAGAGCTGGATTTTTTTTAAATTGGCCAAATCCGAGAGTTTGACCAAATTTCGAAATTTTTTTGCCAGTTTGGATACAAAAAACCATGTCTATGTCTACCATAGAGGGTAATGTTTCCACAAAAACCAATTTTTTCCACACGAAACTGCCAGTTTATCTATTTGAGACATTTTATACGACCAAACCTATCCAAACATGTTTCATCGTATAAAATGGTCTTTTATGAAGTATGTCCACATTACGGCAATTTCTACCGTAGATGATAATATTTCCACAAAAAATCAGTTTTCTCAACGCGAAACTGGCCAAGATATGGCCAAAAATAACCTTTCTCTAACCGCCCTCCGCATTTCGCGTACTCTCTCATCCGCAAAGATTGTTGAATATCTCGGCTGTTCGTGCAAATTGCGAGCTGAAATTTGCAGGAATTGATATGTGGTGTGTGCACAATGTGCGTGCAAAATTTCAAGGAAATCTGAAAAAATTTTTTTTCGAAAATTTTTTTTTTGCAAAAAAAATTTTTGTTTCAAAGATAAAAATTACAGCGAAAAAAGTTTTCGTGTAGTGTCTAGAAAATTCACTGCGATAAGGGAGGCCGGTCAGAGGCCGAGAGAAAAGTCCAGAAGTGCATTTTTCCGAACTCTTTTTCGTCTTTTCAAAGTCTCTCTGCCCTCCAAAAAAGAGAGTTTTTCGAAAAAAAAAGAAATGATTTGTTATCCCCTTGGTCTTTTTTCATCTTTTTTCGGGGCAAAGTCCACACAGAACTTGTTTTTCACCGAATTTATCGTGTTTATTTTGGGATATTATGCCTGTTCGATTTATTTCGTATTTTTTGTAATAAAAAAAAATATTGTTGTTTTTTAAAAGTGATTTTTGTCATAATCTTTTTCGTGCAGACAATTCTTGAGTAACAAAAGAGATTTCTGGTCTGAGAAGCTGTTGTTTTTGCACTCAAAACTAGTTTAATTTTTTTTTTGAAAAAAAAAATTTGTCTCAAAAATGATTCAAATTTTGCACACAAAATGGGTATAGGGCACATATCAATTCCTGCAAATTTCAGCTCGCAATTTGCACGAACAGCCGAGATATTGAACGATCTTTGCCGCCGAGAGAGTACGCGAAATGCGGAGAGCGGTCAGAGAAAGGTTATTTTTGGCCATATCTTGGCCAGTTTCGTGAGGAAAAAAATGATTTTTTGTGGGAATATTATACTCTACGGTAGAAATTGCCGTAATGTGGACATATTTCATAAAAGACCATTTTATACGATGAAACATGTTTGGATAGGTTTGGTCGTATAAAATGTCTCAAATAAATAAATGCCAGTTTCGTGAGGAAAAAAATTGAGTTTTTGTGGAAATATTGTACTCTACGGTAGAAACAAGCATGATATTTTTCATGTGAAAATTTGCAAAAAAAAATTTTGAAATTTTCACCAACTTTTGGATAAAAAATCTCAAAAAAACCTCGGTTTTTTCTGCAAAGCGCGAACTAGGAGTGTCGCATATGTCTTAGAAAAAATTATTCTAAATTTGTGCCAAGTTTTATCAAATTCTGAACAGAAAAATTTTTGGTCAAAAAAAATTTTTTTTTATTTTTTTTAATTTTTTATTTATTTTTGTTTTGAGATTTTCCGACTTTACTATTTTTATTGTCCATTATTTTTTATTGTTTACCGCTCTCCACCCATTTTTCCGTCCAATTTGGTGACTAATTTCGTCGTTTGATTTCCGATGACGTCATCCGAAATGATGAAATTTTCGCCGTGAAAGTGCGTCAATGATAACCAGCTCCTCCCCGAACATTTTTGTCACAGTTATCGCTGATTGCTATAAAAATTGGGGCCTTTTGTTTCACGCCTTATATTACACTTGATAAATCTTACCCTATTTAAGGTCATTTTTGATGGATTTTTGTGTTTTAAACAGTGGTGTATTCTCTTACAGACTCTGTAGAGTGATTTTATTAACTTTTGTTTTCTAAAAAATTTTTGTGAGAAATGATTTGTGGGGAAAATTTGCATATTTTGCCTACAGGAAGTACCCCAAGTGCGATGCTCAGATTTTGATGAAACTTGGCACAAATTTACAGTAATTTTTTTTAAGGCATATGCAAGAATTTTAGCTTGCGTTTTCTCAGAATTTTTATACGACGAAATCTTTCCAAACATGTTTCATCGTATAAAATTGTCTCTTTGCCATGAAATTTTTTTTTGCTTATTTCTACCGTAAAGAGTAATGTTTCCACAAAAAATCAAGCTTTTCCCCGCAAAACCGGCAAGGATACCGCCAAAAATGTTTTTTCTCTGACCGCTCTCCACATTTCTAGTACTCTCTCGGCAGCAAAGATTGTTGAATATCTCGGCTGTTCGTGCAAATCGCGGGCTGAAATTTTCAGGAATTGATATGTGTTCTATGCACAATGTGTGTGCAAAATTTAAAGAAAATCTGAGAGTCGCACTTGGGGTACTCGCGGTTTAATTTTACCTTATTTTAGGTCATTTTTGGTCATTTTGAGAACTTTTTTTGACGAAATTACTAACTAAAAACTTATATTGAGAAAGGAAAGTTTCTAAATAACGTATTTTACCTTATTTTAGGGATCAAAATCAAAAAATCTCGTTTTTTAAAAAACAAAAATTTTGCTGAATTTTGTGAAATTTCCAAAAAAATCGTTCTAAAACTCTAACTAAAGCTCGTAAAATTGCTTTGCTCATCAAAATTTCACTTTTTTTGTGTTTTTTCAATGTTTTCCTTATCACAACAAAGATTACACCTTCTCGATTTTTCCACCCGAATTTCACGTGCCCATGTCAAGGTCTGCAAACGGGTGGAGTAAACATATTTTGGACGGGTTGGAAGTTACATTCGTCTGAGCTTCAAGTTTTTTGCCCTTCTGCGACTTTTTGCTTGCTGATTTGATGAGATTTGATGAAAAAAGTGCAAAAATACGGGTTCCATGGGGTCGGAGATCGCTTCAAGTCTGCTTAAACATACTTTAATCTCCTATTTTCTTAGGCTGTTCAGTTTTTTAGACTAAAAATTTTCTTATTTTAGAGATCTGATGGTCATGGATAATATAAAAAGTTTTCCAAAAATTTGAAAATTAGTGTTTAGGCTGCTTTTTTACCTTGTTTTTCAATTTTCTCTTCATTTGTATCCTTTTACAACCCGTTTAACCCGTTTTTCGGTCTTGCAACAGAATGCCAAGAATGGCGGGAATTTGAATTTTTTCAAACTATGATACCCGGAATTGTCAAAAAATTAATTTTTCCGACTGATTGATTGTACGCGTAACTATTCCAGACGTATTTTACCATTACACTTCACAAAAAATCGCGATTTCTCATCAATTTGTCTACTAAATACAATATAATTAAATCAACCATTTGACTTGCAGACACACGCCTTTTACCCAAACCCCGCTTTGTTCGCACACGGTAATGGTTGTTGAATGTGGAGTGGCGCCAACTGGACTACCGTACTCCAAGCCGACCAGTCCGAGAGGAATGAGATCCACCAAGTCCCGGGGAATAATTCACTCGGTTTTGGAGAAAGGGACGGCCCGATTGATCTGCGATGAAGATTTCAGGACTCTTCGAGTGAGTTAGACATGCTTTATAGTGGTTTTAAAGGGGTTTTTGGGACTTTCAAGTTTTCGTGGTGGGACCCAAAATTTGGAATTTTAGCGACAAGAAATGGTCAAAAAATCGTTGCAATAAAATTTACAACGCTTTATGGGAGTTTATTCTCTCTTGCGGCCTCGTTTTTACCTTAAGATAGAATTCTCAGGTTTTCGTGGTGGGACCCGAAATATGGAATTTTTACCGACAAACTGGCCAAAAATCGTTGCAATAAAATTTACAACGCTTTATGGGAGGTTATTCTGTGTTACAGACTCGTTTTTTACATAAAACAAAGTCTGAAGTTTTCGTGGTGGGACCCAGAATTCGCAATTTTCAGCTAAAAATATTGAAAATGACACAGTTATGCGATGCATCACAATGAAAAAGGCATTTTACTGCTTCAAACACGCTTTTTAAAGACTAAAATTGAGATTTCAGGTTTTCGTTGTGGGACTCAGATTTTTTTCCAAAAGCTTCAAAACTGTCAAAAAATATTTCCCTTTTCTTTCAGGGCATTCTCATAACCGACAATGATGACACATTTTCCATTTTTGGCACACTCAGAAGTCATGAAGACCCCTCAACCAGCCACGAATTCCCCATGGATATTACTATTGTTGATGGCGACACCGCCGACAGATACGAATTGCTGGCCGTGAACGTGACGCTCGACCACTTCCAGCATCCCGTCACCTTGGCTGAGCACACGGTCATCAAGATTGATCATCCCGCCTTCAAGTTTCACACTACCGAAGTTTTGATCGGAAATAAGTAAGAAGATGGCGGAAATCGTCCGCAAAATAGGTCGAAGATGATGAACAAAGATCACAGAGATCACAAAAAACACTTGGGTCATCTATTTTTATCCGGTTTCACCTGTTTATGACCTTTTTTCATCTGTTTTTGACCAAAAATATTATAGGTATCAAGTGTAATATAAATTTTTGATCGCTACGCAAAAATTAACGTCTATATGAACTTGAAATGACCCTCAATGCTATCTATATTCAATTTCAGAGCCGATGTGGCCATTCATCGCTTCATTGATCCGAAATTTTCGCACGAAAACGAGAAAAAAGTCCTGGTGGGTCAGATGACTTTGAAGGTGGTTGCGCAAGAACGCACTGCTCCCACAACCCGACGACTCTCCGAATGCTTGTCTCCAAGCTGTACCGAGGAGGTTATCGAACAGACCGACGACTTTTTGGCCTGATCCATTGTACTATACCCGCATCTTTTCAGTTGAGCTTCCTACTCCATGACAATTGATTTTTTTTTGTTAAATTGTTTTGCTATTTTGCAAATTTGCTAAAGAATAGAATAAAGATTGTTTTAGAATAAAAAAAAAAAAAGTTGATAAAAACTAAAAATTGTTGGAAAATTATATTACACATGACGACAGGTGTGTAAATTGACAAAAAATCGGTGAAAATCGCAAAATTTTTTGGCAAAATACTATCTAGAAAAACAAACAAGCCAAAAGCTCTCATTATACTTCCTACATGAATAAACTCAAGATTTATTTTTCAACTAATTGACTGTTGATTACTCTAAAACATCTAAATTCAGGCCTTGGCGTCGGCGAGAGCGGCTTGACGTTTGGCCTCCTCCTTTCTCTTGGCATCACGCTCAGCAAGGTATTCCTTCTCTCTAAAGACAGAATTCAATAATGTAATTGAAGGACTTACTCGTTGGCAACTTCAGCAATCAGATCATCCAAAGTTTTGCCCTCGAGCACTGTTTGGACGGAACTCTCCACCTTGGCTTGTTCGAATTTCACATCGAGTTTGCTGACAACATCCGAGCTGGCTAGTTTGTATTTTTGGGCGAGTTTGTTGAGTTGGTCGTCGAGCTTCTTCTTGATTTCGGGAGAGGTGTTGACAAGAGATCCACCGGCGGCCCTAGAATTGAAAGAGTTAGAAACTAGTTAGCAAATCTTCTGTTCACTGCAAAAGGACCTTCAAATCCCCAATATTAAAATAAAGCCGACAGTTTATCTTGATGTAAAGTATGGTTAAAATAACAAAAATTGATGCTTAAATTTTCAAAAACCTCGGTAAACCACTAATACATTCAATGACAAGGGCTTTTTGTAGCTACCAAGTGCCTATCTCGTCCTGCCGAAAAGGTTTATCAACTATTTCTTACAAAGTCCTATCCAGCTATGAATGGATAATATAAAAACGCCAAATCTGATGAAAACCTCAAAATTAAGAGAAGACAAAAATATCCATTAGCAAAACAATCTAGTTGAGCAACTATAAACGTTCAGTAACGCAACACCAGAAAACCACTTTCATCATAAAGCCCTAAACTTCCAGAAACACCAAACGATAAAACAACTTACTTTTGCTTGGCGGCCAAGTCCTTGATCTGCTTCAGGAAAGCTTGAGTGACCAGATCGGGCTTGCCCATGCGGGAAGACATGCTCAACGAACGTTGAGAGACCAATCCGAAGCGAGCGATCATGATCAAGGCTAAAATTATAAGGTTTAATAAAAAATCGCGGCAAATTGATAATTCGGCTGGATAAAAACGCGAATTCCGCATCCGTCAACAATACTTTTACCTCAAAAACAGCAACGTAAGGCAAACTCTCGACCAAAATCAAGATTGGTCCGTGAAAAAAGAAAAAAGTGGAAACCCAAACGCTAATCGACGAAATGCCACAAATTCGACGAAATGTCACTATTGATGTTTATGCAAAAATATTTTGTTTTTCGCAAAAAGAATATCAATTAGTGGAAGGCATGTGGTTCGCGCGTCTTTTGGCGTCTGGCCCGACTGGTAAGAGATTTTCCGTTTATTTGTGGCTTTGATTTTTAGATAGGGACAAGGAGCAGATCAATATCGGGTGTCTCTGACGATTAAGTCGGCGGCTTTATGGAAAAATAAATGCAGTGAAGCATCTTCGTGGGATTTATAAAGATGTTGATTCATTTTTCTTGACATTGAGAGACTTTCCCTGGGAATACGATGCATTTTTCTGATATTACCTTAGCTTTTGATGTCAGACAAAGTTTTGGATTTTTCAAAGCCTAAGATAATATCTCTTGACAGGCAAATTCCCCCCAGACCTTCCGTAGGGTGTCTTCTAAGTCCTGATAACAATCTTTTTTAGCTCAGCGGTACGTCCAGATCTTAACGCTCCCTGTTGCAATAGTCATTGGGACCATCGGTTATTCGATTGAATCTCGAATTTCCAAGCCCCAAAAGATTGAATATCTCGACGAATCTGTTGTTGAACGAAGAATGAGACGTCAGCTATCGAATCCAGACCGCGACATTACACTGGATCGCGAGAAATTGGCGCCAGAGACATTGAAAGTCAACCACTGACCTCTACTATAATATATTAGTTTTTACCTATTTAGTTTATCATCTTAGCTGGATCTGGTGTTATTTATACGGGCTATTTGACATACTTTATTAAATTTTTATCCAATTTTTTGTGTCGCTCGTGGAATTATCATGTTTTTGAGCATTTTATATTATACTTGACCCTACGTGCTGATTGACGTGAAAAAACCAGATTTTTTAATGTTTTGTTGTGTAGAATGTGATGTAGATTAAAGAGGTTGTAGTTTCAGTCACAATGGATCGCACAGCACACAAATTTTGCGTGAAAAATCCCGTTTTCAAAGAGAAAATCGATCGACATGTACAGAGAATGCTCTCGGAGGGAACTATGCCAAAGAAAAAAGCGATATTTGTAGGTTTTTAAAAGACTATTGTTGCTTCTACTTTATTATTGCCATTCAATCAGTTTTCGGAATATTTCACATCGATTTTGGGGCAGAAATCGCAGAAAATATCAAAATATTACCTAAAGTAATATAATTTTTATCGATTTTCAATTTTTAGGGTCGACACATCGTATGTCAGATAATAAATGATCTCGGAGGGATGTTCAACTACATCCCACATGATGATATCGCTCCCGAATTCGTCGCACGCACTAATATTTACATGAAGTCAAGGTTCACACAGGATGATAAAAAAGGCCCCGAAACCTCAATAACCAAGGTAAATCTAATGGTTTTGACTTTTATTCTCTTTGAAATTTTAGGTATCAATCGAATTGTTCGGAAAGAACTTCAACGCCGCCTTATCGGATATGCGATTTGAATTGTTGTACGATGGAGTTCAAAACCGACGAAAATTTAAATTACAGTATGAAGTTGAGGGTAAGTGAGCGTTTTGTGAGGTTTAAAATACGTAAATTTAATGTAGCGTCATATTTGAGCTAATTTGGCGAATTTCAAGTTTTCGTTGTGGGACCCATCGAAGGTGTATATGAAGTTAATGAATTAGATATTTTTGATAGTTGAGGGGTATATAGGTCATCTAGAGAGGCTCAAAATTAATTTTGACGAAGTTTAGAATAGATTATCTGCAGTTGCAAGTTTTCGCGGTGGGACCAAAAAAAAATTTTTTTTGAATTTTTAGTGAAAAAATCGGGGAAAGGACGTTGAAATGGGATGTTATGAAGAATAAATTATGTTTGAGATGTTTTTACACCGTGAATTTTATTGTTTTAGCCCTTCTCGACTTCCACGCTCACATTGTGGAAGCGCTGGCTGGCGCGCCAATCCCACCACCAGCCCCCAAACTCACACCAGCCCCCAAACTCACACCAGCCCCGAGAAAGGCGCCCGTCAAACCGAACGTCGTCTACGACTACGATTCGGACGAGAGTTTGCCCGAATTCGACAACAAAGAATACCTCGAAGAATGCGTCCGAGAAGCCGACGAACGCTGCCAATTCGACGACCACTACTTCCGAAAAGCATACCAAGAAGAGGACGAGTACCTGGACGTCACAATCCGAGAGTACTACAAAAATCCCATGCTGGCGAAGCACGAATTCGGCGTGGACTTGGAAACGAACGAGAGAACCGGAGTTTGCGATGGAAATGTCCCCGAAAATCAAGTCGGATATTCAGTAGTAATGAAGAAACAGACCAACAGAGCTATGAGAGAAAAGAATTTGCAAGAGGAGATCAGGAAATGGGCGAAAAATGGTCGAAAAGGACCAAAACCAACGGCAAAGCTGGCGGAAGCACAAGAATTGGGAAATTTTGGATTATTCCCCGCGAATTATGGCTTGGAAGAGCATCATTATGAACGACCTGGCAGCAGCTTTGGTGGTAAGTGATTTGGAGGAATTTGAGGGGGAATTGAACAAGTTGTGACCTTCTTTTAGTCATCAGATGCGAAATTTTTTGATTTTTTGAAAATTCTGGTATGGCCCACCCTTGCTATACCTAAAATTAGACTTGGTATTGTTTGTAGAGATGTTATAAATATAATAGAGCGATTTGATATCAAAAATGACTTGGGTTTTCGAATTTTGGCGATTTTAAAAATAGCCGAAAATTTATGAAAAATCCGTAGGCTAAAATGCATTACAAAACTTTCATAAATTTTCGGCAGAACAAAAAGTTTGGTAGAACAAACTTGATCGAATATTTTTGCAGACAGTGGCTTCCAATCGATGTACACTGGCTCAACGAACAGCCGACCCGACTCCACAACGAACACTAGCCCCGCATTGAGCAGAAAATTGAGCACTTTGACCTTGGACCATAAACCCCTGCAGTCAACGATTGATTGGGGCGACGGAGAGGAGCAGGTCATGTCAAACAACGTTGATTTCCCTCCATTAGGCCTAGCGGAGAATGTTAAACCACCGAAGAAGCAGCTCGAGAACATTGAGGAACGTCCAATTCGCGATGGATGGCAAATGTCAAATCGAAAGAAAAAAGGGAATAGATGGGCGTAATCGAATGGATTTGTATTCGAAAACGCACAAAATCAAAGTATTCAGCGCGTACGGGATATTTTTTGTATTTTACAACTCAATCAGCCTCAGTTTTAACCCATTTTTTGCCTAGTGTAATATCGAAAAAAGGAAAAAATCCGCTAAAAAGTGGATAAATATGATCCAGTAATCGACTTCCCAATACTCTCATTCCATTTTTGTGCCATTGTTTTTTCAAAATATTGTTATTTTTTGAGTCCTAACATCTGATGTTGTTCACGTTTATATTCCAAAATGTTATCAGATTTGAGATAATAAATAGTCCGAGCTCGACTTAATTGGCTAATATTTGACCTACATTATCTACTGGTAGCATTCCAGCATAGTCGAAGCTATTCCCTGACCAAGATTTAATCAAATTTCTTGACACTAATGTAATATAGAAACAACCAAAAAGTTACCAGTTTGTCGGGAAAATAATGTGTGCTCTGTCTCATCGGAAATTTTCGGTCGTTTTATGCATTAGAGAGGCTAGGAGAAGGCTTAGTTAACAGAAATAGTAAGATTTATCAGCTCCAAAGATAGTTTATCACCTATTTTGAGCGATTTTAGCTGCTTTGCAATAATATCCATAGAGACTTACAGTGATGGACCTCATCCAGTGACAAAAAACGTACCATTTTGCATCAGGGAAGCATCAAAAATGTGGCAAAATGCTTCCCTCTCCAAGTGAAAAAACTTCGCTTTGAAGGGCCCCTCACAAAAAGAGCGGGCGCGCTTGGAGAGGCAAGCATTTTGCCACATTTTTGATACTTCCCGGATGCAAAATGGTACTTTTTTTGCCACTGGATCAGGTCCCCCACTGTAAGTCTCTATGGAGATTATTGCAGTAAAGCAGCTAAAATCGCTCAAAATAGGTGAAAAACTATCTTTGGAGCTGATGAATCTTACTATTTCTGTTAACTAAGCCTTCTCCTAGCCTCTCTAATGCATAAAACGACCGAAAATTTCCGATGAGACAGAGCCCACATTATTTTCCCGACAAACTGGCAACTTGTCGCAACTTTCGACCTATCAGTCTTGGCAATAATTAATTTTATTTACACGAACCAACAACAAACATAACATCAGGTTTTACCAGCCTTGTTTGAGATGTCTAGTCCCTGAGGGTGCTCTCTCCGTCCTCGTTGTCCAAACTCCACACAATTAGGGTCGAGCCGATCAGAAAATACAACAGCCCGAGACGGAGCCGCTCCCAAAACCCGTAATAGATCATATTTGGGTAGTTAAAGTGGAGTGCGAATAAAAATATATTCAACTGAAGGGCGTATAGAGCAAACTCCACACAGTGGGGGATCGAAAAAAGTGAACGGGGAAAGGAACGGAGAGGTCGAACAGGCGGGCAGATATAATCTATTGTCAGGCCATTTATCAGGCAGAAAAATGGACAAACTGGTGTTTTAAGCAACATGCGATTTGTGACTTTAGAACCACTTTATCGCACGTTTACAGACAACACATGTTGGTTGTTCTGAGTGGCTGAAAAAGTGGGTAGATGACTGAAAAAATGGGTGACGCAGGTTCGGATGGTGCAAGTTCCGGTGAGCCCTTTCGGAGTGATTGCATTTTCAATGGCATAAAAATGGAATGAGCATGTGGGAAATCAATTACTGGATCGTATCTATCAAATTTTTAGAGGATTTTTGTCTTTTTTTCAATGTTACACTAGGCAAAATGGGTTTAAAATGAGGCAAATTTAGTTGGGAAATACAAACAACATCCCATACGCGCTGAAATTTTTGTTTTCCTGCCCAACAGGCTCAGAATGACCGGGGTCGAGGAATTATGGGTGACGCAGGGTCGGGTGGTGCAAGTTCTGGTGAGCCCTTTCGGGGCGATCGCATTTTAGGGTGATGGATTTTTGGCGTAGGTGAATTCTCAAGTGATAAAGAAAACATAGTGGGGACCTGATCCAGTGGCAAAAAAACGTACCATTTTGCATCCGGGAAGTATCAAAAAATGCAGCATAATACCTCCGTCTCCAAGTGAAAAAACTTCGTTTTGAAGGGCGCACTTTTTCCTCACAAAAAAGTGGCCGCGCTTTTGAAATCTGAGTTTTTTCACTTGGAGAGGGAGGTATTTTGCCACCTTTTTTTATGCTTCCTGGATGCAAAATGGTACGTTTTTTGCCACTGGATCAGGTCCCCTAATGTATTCTACTGATGGCTACTAAATATGACGTAACATTGTTAAAATTTTAAATTTTTTTGGGGGTTTCGACCATCAGGAATCCGAAAATGGAAATTCCCGTGACTTCCTAGTTCCAGAATATCCGTCAGTAATCCATAATCATCATTTCTTTTTTGCAAAAGATTCCATTTTCGGATTCCTGATAGTCGAAGCCCCCCAAAAAAACTTTCAACAATGTCACGTCATATTTTAAAAGCCATCAGTAGAATATTTTCTTTATCATCCGAGAATTCACCCACCCCAAAAATTCATCGCCCGAATATGCGATCACCCGAAAGAGCTCACCCGAACTTGCACCACCCGACCCTGCGTCACCCATAATTCCTCGACCCCGGTTATTCATAGCCTGTTCGGCACGAAATCAAAGAATTCAGCTCGTACGGGATGTTGCTTGTATTTCCCAACAAAGTTTGCCTCATTATAACCCATTTTGCCTAGTTTAATATCGAAAAAAGGCAAAAATCCTATAAAAATTCGATAGATATGATCCAGTAATCGATTTCCCGCACTCTCATTTTATTTTTGTCATATCTTTTATAAAAGAAATTGTTATTTTTGAGTTTCGACATCTGATGTTTTCCATGTTCATAACCCAAAATTCTACCAAATCTAGCCTAATAAATTGACCGCACTCAACTAAATTGGCTAATATAAGGCCTAAACCATCTGCTGATAGCATATTTACCACTAATAACAATCGAAAGTATCAACAACAACAAGAAATTCCTAAATTTTTCTCAGAAAGGCCTCGCCGCCCCTCGTGGTGCCGTCGCTCGACTTGCCTGCCCCGAAAATGGCACCCGATTCGTGTGCTGGAACAAGTACGAGTAGTGCTGATTATCGCGAAAGTTGTGCGCTTCCATTATCATCGCCTTGTTCTTGACTCGGACGTTCCCAAAAAGATTCATTTTTGCATGCGCCAGAATAGGGTTGTGATCGCGATCGATGACTCGGTTCGTCGGCTGGACCTCGGACCGATTTACTTTGATCTTAAATCGTATTTTATGTGATTACTGTGTCATCTGCGGCATTTTTAGTCAATAAAATTTTTGCCGAAAATTGATGGATAATTCGTAGGCTTTTTTGCACTAAAAATTATCCATCAACTTTTGTGAATTTTCCGAAAACCAAAAAATGGCTTACTGTATTTTTGATCCACCCAAATAAGGTTCTAACCAGCATATACTCATTAGGATTGTTGACATTTTGATAGATCCTCCGCGTTCTCACAGCAAATATTCGGAATACCCAGAAAATTGAGTTCGCCAATGTAATCCCGAAGAAATATTGGAAATATCCGGCCTAAAATTGTAACAATGCAAAAAAAAATCTCTAACGTACCCTTTTGAGATCTTTTTTCATTTGTCGAAACGACGCACTTTGAATTTCACCATAATTTTTGAGATCGGCCATGCATTTTGCCACTCCAAGACCGCCGCAAAAAAGCAAAAACATGAAGATTGCATGTGTCCTCGATATGAATAGATCATTGTAGATGAGTTGCCATTGCTTGTGGTCGAGATGGTCTCGCTTGTGAAACAGACGAAGCGAATATTCGGAGAACATGATGTGGGTCGGCTAAAACAAGGTTAATCAGTGTGAAGAAGAAGTTTTCTCAATGCAAAATAGGTATAAATAGCTGCTCTATATCATAACAAAACTAATGAACCCATCAACGGACTAATTCTCGCGTGTTAACCTTTCAAATTCTTCAATTTTTCATCAACACACCTAAATATCAAGAATAATGTAAAAAAACCAACGAACCATATCGACATGAAAGTGGAGAAACTCGCGTATCCTCTCTGTGAATGTATACTTCCTATCAAAGTCGACCTCTCTCGGAACCGTCGGCAATCTCATTCTAAAACAAAGAAAATGTTATATTATACATGACTTACTGCCATCGCCTGGATAATAAGACCACTGGCTTCGATTTGGAAAGTAATCGAAGAGACATTTCGGATTTTACAACATATTTGATGGGTATTTTGTGGGAGAGCTCAACAAGAACAACATTTTTTCATTTTCCAGAGGATGAGACAAGTATTTCCTTACAGCGTCAAGTGTTTCACTGCTATAGTAAATCCGCCCAAGCTTGAAAATAGAGGTAGTAAAAAGGTTGTAAAGCTTATTTAGAAGCTTATTATTGCACTAACTCTGCGAAAAACACCTGTTTTACTCAGTTGCGACGACTTGAACGTCGAAATGGATCGAAGAAGCACTTGACGCATCTGAAATCTTGGGTCAACTCTCTTTCTATTTGTGAAATAATTTTTTTTGCAAAGCAATTTTGTTGAAATCTACATCCAGCTCTCAGTTTTCTAATCCACCGCATATCCCCGGCGCTATGACACTGAATTTAGAGCAATATCGACTCACGGCAGATGATGAACTTCGTTTTGAAGTCGGGGGCGTCGAGATCTTGCTAGAACTTATTGAAGGCGACGTCGAGATATTCGGAACTCCGTTAATACGATTCAAAAAGTACCCTTTCCCTCCAGGTATGCTTATTTGATTTTTTGGTTTGGATTTTAGATTGATTTAAGGGGAATTTGACTGGTTCAGTTTATCATGGATAACATTGGGTTGTTTTGGCCAGTATTTGTTTTTGAGTTGTATGGCTGAAATTTGTTGTACAGCAAAACAATACTACAAAGTAGCTATTTGAGGAATTCGAAACGCCTCTGGCTTTGGAGTCTTGAGAAATTTCCAAAACTTTGGATGTTGACGACCTACTACAAGATTTTAATCAAAATTTATATTTTCTTGCCGAATCCTGCCGAATCACCTGTCAAATATTGAAGATAACATATTCAGTAAAATGGGTGATCATTATTTCGAATTTTTGGAGCCTTTTCTATTACTTTTTACCTTATTTTAGGTTTTCGAGGTGCTTGTTATGCCTTTAAATCGGCCACAGTCGAGATCGCCGGGCCGTTGGAGAGTGTATACACTGCGCATGCAGCTGTGCCAATGGTGCCCTACAGAAACGTTCATGCCGGCCTGAAAACTCGTCGTCTTCGAGTGGCGCCGGACCAGCTTGGACCTAAAGTCATGGTGGCTGGTCCGAAGGACGTGGGCAAGTCTACACTCTGCAAATTACTCGGAAACTACGCAGTTCGCTCTGGGAGTCAAGTTCTGTATGTGGATTTGGATCCTGGACAGGTAAGATGATCAATATTATATTATCTTATATTTCTTTAGAATATTGTTTTCCCTGGCTGCGTATCCTGCATCAACGTTGAAAAGCTCTCGCATCCACTGTATGGATTCGATACAGATCGCCCATACGTCATGAATGTAAGTTTTAAAGTTTTTATTTCCCAAGTTTAGATGTGTTGGTCGGGCGCGAGCTGCCGAGGGTAAAATACGTTTTTTGGCCTCCAAATGGTGATGGTTTATTATTTCAGTATGGAAGTTTGAATCCATTGGCAAATCAGAAGCTCTATGATATCATGGTGGAACATTTGGCCGAGGTGGTTCAGAAGAAAATGAGGATGGTGGAGAGGTTCAAAAAAGGTGGTGTAATCATCGATACTACCGCGTTCTCGAAAGGAAATTAGTAAGTCGTACTTGTAATCTTATGAGGATCCGAATTGGACAAGTTTTGGATTTTCATCGAACTCATTTTGCAAATTTTTATACTGGCGAGCTGCGCCCAATCTTTTACAAAAATGGCTGATATTCGAATTAAAAAAAAATGATTTTAATGTTAGTTCTGCAAAAAAAAAAATCCCGAAAATTTATTTCACCTCGGGCCAAGACCCTCAGGCAATTTTCGCTCTTTCCCAGGGCGCAGCTCGCCAATTTTTTTCCGCCGATTTCACCTATAAGCTGTATGAAATTTCAGCTATAAATCGATCGTGAAAGCAGCGGAGGTCTTCAACGTCGATCTTTTAATTGTCCTGGATCATGAGCGCCTGTTCGCCGATTTACAACGAGACCTCAAAAACAAGTCTATCAAAATTATCCATTTGCCAAAATCCGGCGGAGTGGAGACGAGAACGGCAGCACAGGAGACTGAATACAGACGAAATATTATTCAGAAAGTAAGGATTTGGATTTTTTTAAAGTTTTTTAGGGCGCAGCTCGCGGTAGGAAGACTTAAAAAAACTGGCTGCAGAGTGCAGAAAGTGGCTTCATTTTTTAGATTAAGGTTTCTGAAATTGTTTAGGTAATTTCTCATTAAGTTTTGGACATCCTATTGCATTTTTGGGTAATCTAGGGCGCAACTTGCGGAACGAAAAATTCAAAAACTGGCTCCAAAGTGCAGAAGGTGGCTTCATTTTGTTCAAATTAAGGTTTTTGAAATCGCCTGGGCAATCTTCCATCGAGTTTTGAACTGATTATTGCATTTTTTTAGTAATCTAGGGCGCAGCTCGCGGTAAAAAAAATTCCGAAATTTAACTCGTAAATTTGAAAATTAAGGTGTACGGGGGTTTAGTAGCCACTTTTAAATTCAGTTTTGGACACTATGAGATTTTTTTGAGTTTTCTAGGGCGCAGCTCGCGGTAAAAAAATCCCGAAATTTTACCTTTAAATTTGAAAATTAAATGAAAATTTATGTGTACAGGGCTTTAGTAGTATAATTTTGTTATTTTTAATATTTTTCAGTACTTTTACGGCACGAAAGCCCAGCCATTTTACCCTCGATCCTTCGAATTCATCTACGATAAGCCACGCGAAGAACTGGAACTAAAACTGGCCAGAATCGGAGTCGACGCCCTCCCCGCCTCATGCCTGCCCTACGGCATGGCGCCGGACGAGCATCAGACCATGGTCGAAGCCGTAAATTACACCCCATCATTGGCCCACAGGATCGTCTCCCTAAATGAAGATATGCCTCTGTCGTCGGCAATCATCAAGAAATCGGCCCGGGGATTCGCCCTCATCCAAGAAGTAGACACCGAAAATAAGGTGGTACAAGTCTTGCTGGCTGAGGAACCCCCGATCAAGTTTAGTTTGGGGATTTTGAGTGAAGTCGAATTTTTGGATGATATGCCCGGAAGATTGTGAAATTGGAAGGGAAATTGTGAAAAATTTGGATGGAAAATGAATATGAAAGAAGATGAACATCTAATTTATTGTTTATAATGTTTTTTGAATTGTAATATTGCGGTTAATATTGTTTTGGATCGAAATAAACTTGATTTACCTCGATTTTTGGAGATTTTTCGAAATTTTTGGTGGTTTTTGACCTAAAATTGCGGATTTTTTAAAAGAAAAAGACTTGATAACCTGTGAAATTGGCGATGATATTATGTTTTGTTAAAAAGACGATTTTTTTTGGGGAATTTTGAAAATTTTTGATGATTTTTGGAATTTTTCATTTTTGCGAATTTTTCGATAAAAAATTGTGTTACAGTAAGAAAATGGACTGAAAAAATTGTGAAATTTCCCTCTGGATAATTTGAGGACAAAATGAAATTTGATTTTTTTACGAATTTTGAGATTTTTTTTAATTTAAAGATGACGTCATTTCCTCAAAATTTGTTGAATAGTCAAAAAATTGTAAGAGTTCATTCACAAAACACCTAAAAGATGGGGGGGTAACAGTGTGTAGAATGATTCATAATCGTTCCCCGAAGAAAGGAAATGATTGATTTGGGAGGTCAATCACCCCGGGTCATGTTCCCCCGCCTTTTTTGCGCGACTTTCTGACGTTTTTTGTTCACTCTTTGTTGTGAATAGAATATATAAAAGTTATTGGGGTGGAGAGGCTCAATGATTTCGCCTTTTTTTCATAGTTTGTTTTGTCAAATTTTGATTTTTTGTTTTTGCACTGTGCAAAGCGATTTTTGGGCTAAAAAATGGACTGCACTGTGCGGATTTGGAATTTCGATTATTTTGCAGTTACTATGGGTGGATTGTAAAAGATTTCATTTCAAATTTCAGCCAAGTCAGTGGGCATTTTTATGTTGAAGGCAGATTTATTTTTCGCACTGTGCAAAGCGATTTTTGGGCTAAAAAATGGACTGCACTGTGCAGATGTAGAAATTTGATTATTTTGCAGTTACTATGAGTCGATTAAAGAAAAATTGCGATAAAAATTTTTTTCAATTGAAAGCGCATTTTGATGCTGAAGGCAGATTTATTTTTCGCACTGTGCAAAGCGGTTTTTAGGCTAAAGAATGGACTGCACTGTGCGGATTCGGAATTTCATTTATTTTGCAGATACTATGAGTCGATTAAAGAAAAATTGCGATAAAAATTTTTTCCATTTGAAGGCGCATTTTGATGCTGAAGGCAGATTTATTTTTCGCACCGTGCAGATCGATTTTTAGGCCAAAAAAGCGACTGCACAGTGCGGACTTAAGTTTTAGTTGTTTTGCACTGCGCGATGGAAAATTTTGAGTCATGTTTTCGGTAAAAATTTGCCTTGCATTTCCCAAAAAAACAAGGCGTTGATTTTAAGTTTCGCACGGTGCAATCGACTTTTTAGGCCAAAAAATTGACCGCACAGTGCGGTTTTTAATTTAATTTTTTTCTCGGAAAAAATTAGAAAATTTTTTTTTAAAATTTATTGTAATACAGGAAGCTTAATTTTTGAATTTTTTTTTTAAATTTGAAAATTTTTTTAATTAAAAAAAATTTTTAATTTAAATTTTTTTTCGATGTCGCAAAAAAAATCTACCATGAATTTTCAGGATGTTCCTTCTCCTCTTCTTGCTGTTAATCCCTTGCGAGGCCGCAAAATACTCCGAATACGACGACGGTTTCGCCCGAAAACTCTTGGTTTTGGCGGCCTCGGCGTACTCGCCGACGCCCGAAAATTGTCTGCAAAACCGTTTCGCGAACACGGAACTCATCCAAAAGTTCGATGTGAAATGCGACTTGACCGAGAACAACACCTGTTCCGGGTATATTGCGCTGATCCACGAGGAGCGAGCGATCGCGTTGGTGTTTCGGGGGACCACCAGCAAGGATCAGCTCCAACTCGAGGGCGTTTCGGGGTTTTTTGAGCGCGGATATTTTGAGGAGCTGGGACGAGTGAATCGCTATTTTCACAACGGATTTGAGGCGATTTGGAACAGTGGGATGGAGGCGAAATTCAATGAGATCTCGAGGAATTACCCGGGATACGATTTGTGGGTGAGTTGAGAGGGAAAATTGCCTCAGGGCATTATTGAAAACGGTCAAAAAAGATTTTTATTTGCTCTAGATCTCAATAAAAATCCAATTATTCTGTAATTTCATCGATTTTCGCAAATTTTTGACCAAAGCATGGGCGCAGCTCGAAGAAAATATCTCAAAGATAGGCCCCCAGATTTTTATAAAAATTGGCAGTAATTGAGAGCATAATTTTTTAAAGTATGTGGAAAATTTTCAAATCGCATTCTGCAGAAAACACTGGGATTTTTAAGTAGAAAAAGTTTTAAAGTCATCATTTTTCGAACTTTTACAATAATTCCGGGAAATTGTTGAATTTATTCAAGGGGTATTTTCTGACGAAGATAGACGTCTTGACGGACGTTAAATTTAATAAAAACCTGCCTTTCAATTTTTTATTTGATCACCAAAGACAAAATAAAAACTGATTCCAGTTATTACAGCCTCTCAAGAATAGATCATCAAAATTTGTTTTCGCTCTAAAAAAACAACTCTACGTCTGTCGGAAAATTAATGAGCATAATGTTGCCCGTTTTTTATAGAAGTTTCGAATGGATTTCGAAGCTTCTTTAAAAGAAAGAATTTCTCCAAGCTGCGCCCGAGCCTTTTTCAGTCTGTCGGGAAAATAATAAGCATAATGTCGCTGCGCCGATCGCGTCGCTTAAGTGAAAAGAAATTTGATTTTGCCGCGATACAATTCATTTTTATTCGATTTTCGCTGCGGCAGAGTGCTCATTATTTTCCCGACAGACTGACAGCCACTTTTTCTTTACTTTAAAAAGTCTGAAATCAACAAAAAAAAAACTCTCAAAGAAATGCTCAAAAAACACCTTTTTTGCCTCCTTGTAATCAACGTATCGTTATATCTTTTCCAGATAACCGGACATTCTCTCGGAGGCGCGTTGGCTTCGTTGGCGTCGGCTCATCTGGTCTCCACGCGCGGATACAACGCCGAAAACTCGGCGCATTACAGCTTTGGTCAGCCGAGAGTGGGCGATGAGAAGTACGCCGAGGAGCACTCGAAACTCGTAAGCATTTTCGATTTTTGCCAAAGTTTCATACTTTCATACATATTTCTACCGAAGAGTTTAATTTTTCCGCAAAAAAAGACCTTTTACGCACAAGAATAACAAAGATATGGCCAAAAAGTGTTTTTCTCTGTCACCGCTTTCCGCGTATCTCATACTCTCTCGGCCATAAAGATTGTTGAATATCTCGGCTGCCCCTGAAGATCGCGAGCTAAAATTTTCAGGAATTGATACGCAGCCTAGACACAATGAATGGGCAAAATTTCAAGAACGTGGAAAAATTATCCCGTACGGTAGAAATAGGTACCAAACTTTTCGTGTCGAAATTCGTCAAAAATTGTCAAATTTTCGCCAACTTTCGATCTAAAAATCTAGATTGTTTCTGCAAAGCGGGAGCTAGGATTCTCGCATACGTCCTAGAAAAAATTGTTCTTAATTTGTGCCAAGTTTCATCAAAATCTGAGCGTCGCACTTGGGGTACTTCCCCTGTAAGGATACTTTTTCATTTCTACTCCCTTTTCACCAATCCCTCATTTGCAGATCCCCTGGTACTACCGTGTAACGCACGCCAGAGACGTTGTTGTCGACTTGTTCCCGCTCTCTCTCGGCTACCGGCATCATGTCAACGAGGTGTGGTACGACAATGCGATGTTGCCCGGCGCCTCGTACAGGGTTTGTCGGAAAAATTTCGATTGGAAATGCATCAAACTCCCGATTCCGCTGCCCAACATGCTCGACCATCGCTACTACTTCAATGTGAAGATTACCAAGTACGGGAAAGGCGGATGCGAAAAACCAATCGCAATGTAATTTATGAGTTTTTAGCTAATAAAGATATCATGTGAAACGCTCACTTTAAAAAAATTTTTTTAAGAAATAGGCATGATTTTTTTATCACCAAATTGGTCAAAAAAATCGAATTTTGGCCAACTTTTGGCCAGTTTTGAAAAAACTTTACGTCGTGCTTTTATATCTTCTCTTTCTCTTAATTTAATTAATTTATTTCCGCTAATCATCTATCAAAAGTAGAGAAACGGGCCATGATTCGGGGCCAAGATGGGGATGTCACGTCGCACGGCAACCCGAAATAGAAGAAAAATGTTTCCCGCCCACTTTTGAGTTTCGTCCAAACGAAGTGTCAAAATTGACAAAAGAAATAAAATAATTCCGAGAAAAATATTTTTCGGTCGCAAAATCCCACGAAAAATTCTTTTGTGACATTTTGTTTGATTTCAACCGATACAAAATGGGCGAAGTGTCGAAAGGAGCCAGAAAACACTTCGGGTTGCCGTGCGTCGGTTCTCCAGTTCTGTCCCACCATGTTCAACTTGTAGAAGTTCTTGAAGTCGTGTTCCCAGCGCGTTCTTATTCTCTCTCTCTACTGAATTCGCGTCCAGCGAATTATGTGCCGCGAGGCGTGCTGAGCGAGGGAGGCCTTCTCTTGGTTCCTTTGACCGTGTTTTGGTCAGCTGTCCATGTGTCGGTCGCATTTATTTGTTCGGCTGACTCGGGTCGCTATGTCCATTTTCCCCCTTTCCTCTTCTTTTCGAGGGTTGGTGGGGGTGGGAATGGGCTTGGGTCGGTAGTCAAAGTAACGCTTCAGCTTTGTCATATGTATTAAATTTATCCCCAATAAATTTATTACATTTTTCAGAAAAAAAATTTTATCAGCAGTAACCGCGTAAGCTCTAAAAGACAGTAATTGAACATTTGCCTATTTTACATTGAACCGCCTATTTTCTTATTCTAAAGATACTAAGTTCGCTATCCTTTTGGCTTATCCATTAAAACAAAAAGAAAACATAAGTATATTATGTATATCCTTATTATATTATAATTATATTATAATATTATAAACTTGTTATATAATAATATATCTTACATATATTACATAGAAATCGCTTATTTTCTTACATATATTATATATCCTTATTATATTGCAATTATATTATAATACTATAATATTATAAACTTATCATATTATTACATATTATTTACATATATTACATATATCCATAATCCAAAAAAATAAACTAATCCTAAATACGTATACTACAAATATAATAAAAAGAAAAAAACAGATTTTTTTCTCTTGTCAGTGTATTTTCATTTGGGCCTGTACTACTGATAGTAAAGGTTGTAATTAAAGCATCGCGTAAATTGTCGAAGTATGACTCCAAGGCCATTCAAGAGGAAGCCCGAGCCGGCAGCTGAACCAACGACTGAGTACCACAGGCCACCGGTCGTCATTAACTTCGACGAGAGTATTTCGGAAGAGGACAAATCGGTCATCCGCCGGATTCGTCCATCAGCATTATTGCGTAAATTTAGGTTTAGGAAAAGACCCGAGCAGCAAGACGACTTCGAGTCAAACTCTCGCACATGCGTTACCGCGCGGTCAACACAACCGCCACCGAGGACCGGCCATTCGGATTTCAAAATAATCGTCGCCCAATGAATCCTCAAAATCGCCAAAACTTCCGCGATAGGCAAGCGTAAGCATGCACACACGAGCCGCCGAGGCCGACAAGGGATCAAAGACAACAACCTATGGGAAACAGAAACCAAAGGGGATCAACACCATAAACTGGACCCCGTTTCTTACAATCGTTCTCGCGATCCTCAGCGTGCATAGTGTGGGAGCTTTCCAAATCTGCCCACGGGCCACTGGAAGCGCGCTTATTGAACCACCACAGGCGGAAGATTGCAAACAACCACCAGAAGCGGCAGAAGTTTATAAGTCGCTGCCAGAAGCAGCAAAAACGGATCTTACCGTATTGACACATGAACTCTCGAAACAATTTGCAGCGGGAGCAAAAGAGTTACCATGCAGGGACAAATTCCAAACCCGAACAATTAGGCAAGGCGAGTCGCTACACGCGTATCTGGCGTAATTACGAAATTTACTCGAACTGGCATACCCCGCTGCAAAAACGTCGGAAGTCACCCGGTAAAAGCTCTTGAGACAGCAATTTGTCAAGGGGCTACAGCGTAAATTAAAACAGGCCCAACACTATAAGGACAGTGACCAAATTACGGACATGACGGAGCTCCTCAAGACTGCACAAGACCGGCTGGATGACGAGAAGGAAAAATGGAAAGGTAGGAAAAAAATAATGCTCTCGTTTCAGAATTTCAAGAAGGCGATATGATATTACAGAGGTTGGAAAATGCGAAAACAGCGAGGCCCCATAAATTCACGCCAAAATTCGTAGGGCCGTTCAACATCCTGGAGGTGCCACCACCAAACGCTATCATCCAAGCGGACCCAAAAATATGCATACATATATGACAAAGTTGAAGCGTTACTTTGAAAAATGACGTGTGGTTTCTGCAGGCGACTACCTTCAACAACTTCTACCTGAAAGTTCTTGGCCTTCCAAGTGGAAGGTTGCTGATGTGGAATGCGGGTAGTCGATGCTATTCGTTCCCATTGGATCAACACGAGAAATAAAGAGCGATTCACGTGAATTAATGAATTTATCGAGAATAGCAAACAATTAGAATAGAAAAAGGCAATAGCACTTCAATTCAGCAACAACTCACAACTCAACTACAATTTCACACCTCAACATGGGATAAAACCTGAGAGAAGCTTACGGTGTCCTGGTTCAGTCGCTTCGCTTCTCTCGATCGAACATTCTCGAACTTCCGAGAAAAACAGCTGGGAAACAGTTGACACGAGGGACATCTCTCTCTCCATAAATTCCATCGAGTTGACACATCGTGGAAAACTGCAGTTTCCGTGGAATCTGACGGATGTGATTTTCGATTCCACGGAGTGCTCGTTATTTTCCCGACAGACTGATCATACTATAAATGAGTTTGTTTTTTTCGCCCCAAGCTAGATATGAATGCCAATAAAGGTGTGGCCATCCGTCCGGAAGGAGTTCTTGACTCAGCAGAACTTGATTAATTTGATATTAATCGCTTCCGATGATAATTTTTTCAATAAAAACGTTTTTGAATTGACTTTGTTTAGCGATAACATTTTTTACGGCGATGAAAAAATTTTTATTGCTTTTTCTAATTTTTACTGTGTCTAAATGCAGTGATATTAATGTAGAAACGGAAAAAACAGTTTTGCTGGGCATTGACACGGTGAAAGCGTTGGATGCAGACGTTGTGAAATGTCTGCAACATGAGGAAATCAATTTTGTGATCTTTCGTCTGGCCCAAAATGGGAAAAATGATCAAATTGGCCTGAATAATATGAAAATTTCCAAGTCAGGTAAGGTTTTTTAAATCAGTTTAAATTCTGGATTTCAACTACGATTTAATTTTTTTCCAGCCCGGTTACCGTTCTACGCTTACATCGACCCGAATCCGTACGCCGATGGCGCCGTTCAGTTGAATGAAGCGCTCGATTTTGCAGCCCAAAACGACATAAAATTACAAGGGAAGTCGTTCATATCGCAAATGATTTGAGCTACGGGACCGGTATATTCTGATTCTCCATATTCGGAAACAATAAGAGCTAAGACAATTTTTTCGTCTGGGTCCTGGTTTTCGAGAAAATCGACCGTAAAATTTGACCGGAAAAAGCCCCGCTAACAGGGGAAGTACTCCAAGTGCGACGTTCAGATTTTGATGAAACTTGGCACAAATTTAGAATAATTTTTTCTAAGATATATGCGAGAATCCTAGCTCGCGCTTTGCAGAAACAACCGAGATTTTTAGATCGAAAGTTGACGAAAACTTAACCCTTTTTGCCGAATTTCGGCACGAAAAGTATCCTGCCTATTTCTACCATAGACGGTAATGGTTCCACAAAAAATCAAATTTTTCCAAACGAAACTGCCAAAGTTATGGCCAAAAAGTGTTTTTCTCTCTAACCGCCCTCCGCGTTTAGCGTACTCTCTCAGCGGTAAAGATCGCTCGATATCTCGGCAGCGCATGCAAAGCGCGAGCTAAAACTTTCAGGAATTGATACTTAGTTCCGAGGTATGTGCAAAACTTAAAGAAAATCTGAGCGTCGCACTTGGGGTACTTCCCTTGTAAATAGTAGTAGTAATAAGAGGTAGTTTCTGGCACTAAATTTTGCATCCACTGGAAAAGGGGGGAGGAGCCGGCGCGGGGTGCCGTAAATGAGAGAGTGTGGGATTGGAGGAGAGTGGGGAGAGAGGTGAGGGAATTTTTATGGTATGGTAGTACTGTAAAGGTGAGAGAGTGAGGGATTGGAGGAGAGTGGGGAGAGAGGTCAGGGGAATTTTGCGGTCAAATTTCAAAAAAGATGCGCGGGTGTCGTAATTGAAAGGACGCGATGAAATTGCGGTAAAAAATGAAAAAGATGAGAGAGTGTGGGATTGGAGGAGAGTGGGGAGAGAGGTCAGGGGAATTTTGAGGTCAAATTTCAAAAAAGATGCGCGGGTGTCGTAATTGAAAGGACGCGATGAAATTGCGGTAAAAAATGAAAAAGGTGAGAGAGTGTGGGATTGGAGGAGAGTGGGGAGAGAGGTCAGGGGAATTTTGCGGTAAAAAATTGAAAAAGGGTGAGAAAGTGGGGAAAGGAGGAGGATTGCGGGTTGTTGCGCAACCTAGAGGTTGCGGGAGGGCAAGAGGTTGCGGGGTGTTCCGCAACCGAGATGTTATGAATGTTGCGCAACCTAGAGGTTGCGGTAGGTTAAAGAGTTTATGATTTATGTCTGTGATTTTTTTCCGGAAAAAGCGGAAGGATCAAGACTATCAAGTCCATCAATAAAATTTGATGACTCTTCAATAAACTTTTCGACTCAATGATGATGAAATAATTTTTTACCCTTTTCAAAAGGATTAAGAATCCAATAACTTTTATTCGTTTATTCAAAAACCAACAGGTTGCGGTAGGTTAAAGAGTTTATGTGTTTGTGATTTTTTTCCGGAAAAGCGGAAAGATCAAGAGTATGTATGGCCCATGAATAAGAGTTGATGACCCTTCAATAAACTTTAGAGGTCACAGATCTCCAGGATTTTCGGGGCCGTTTGGGGTCAATAGGTCACGCCTCCAAAAAGACCTATATATTCAGACAAGATATTAAGACATTTTCATTAAAGTGCATGTCGCTAGTCGCGGCAATTCCCTGTTTTTTGCACTAGCGACATGCACTTTATGTCGCGACTAGAATCATTTTGCCGAAAAATTAAAAAAAATTTTTTTAGTGAAATGGAAAAACTGTGTGAAGAGTTTAATTCAATGTCCCTCTCCGAGGACGAAACCGAAGTAAGCTTCATTTTTTTTTTTTATTTTTTCTTTTATTTTTTTAATTTTCTGTTTTTTTTTTAGTTAGCGCACCTCAGTGCGCGCCTCGTGGCGGATTTCCCAGGGTGCTCAACCTTGGAGGAGTTTCGGCTTCAAATAAGCCGAAACTTTTATAAAGCTTATTATGCCATTATATATGGCGAAGCCTCACAGGCTTCCAAGGAGGCGGCGGAAGAACTCCGTCGCTGTTTCGAGCAGACACTCGAAACAGTAGACGGGGTGGACCCCGGTCCAATGAAAGGATTCATGGATGCCCTTAAAGGGCATCCATGAATGTGACCCCAAACGGCCCTCTTTAGGGCCACCCAATCGGCCCTCTTTAGGGCCCCGCCAGAAGCCAGTTCCAGAGCCAGTTCCAGAGCCCCCGCCAGAGCCAGTTCCAGAGCCCCCGCCCGAGCCTTTTCAAATGACCCCAAACGGCCCTCTTTAGGGCCACAAATCATTTTTTTTTTTTTTTGATAAAGAATAAACATAACGACGCACATCAAGAAAAGATAGAACAAAAGTGTTCAAGCAATGAAAAAAAAAAAAAAAATTTTTTGGATTCTGTAGCTCAAAGATAATTTTTTGCTCCAAAGATAACCTGATCACCTGGAAGATGGAGTAGAATAGATTTATTGCATACATGTGGGTCATAATTATATCACCACTTTAAAAATTGGGTGTAACTTTTTGTGATTGTTGATAGAAATGTGTCATTTGGCATCAATGTACATCAGGGTACTAGAAATTTGAAGCTGGACTCCTACTTAACCTCACCATACATGTTTCATATAACAATTCAATCGTCTTCTATCTGCTTCAAGCCTAAACTAACAACGTCTAAAAAAAAAAAAAATTTTTTTTTTAACAACTTTGCCGATTTCTCCAAGAGTTTTCCCTCGCCCCTGTTTGAAGTTTGTTGAAAACATATTCTGGAACAAGATGGATTTTCTGAACCTAAACGAAAAAAATCCAATGAGTCAGTTTTCAAGATGGAAAATCTCTTCATTTTACGCAATATTTCGCCTTTCGTCTGACCCCGTCCAAAGAAACCTTCATTAAGAGCGATTTTTGGACACTTTCATAAGCGGGTCATTTTACACAATATTTCGCCTTTCGTCTGACCCCGTCCAAAGAAACTTTCATTAAGAGTGATTTTTGGACACTTTCATAAGCGGGTCATTTTACACAATATTTCGCCTTTCATTAAGAGTGATTTTTGGACACTTTCATAAGCGGGTCATTTTACACAATATTCCACCTTTCATTAAGAGTGATTTTTTGGACACTTTCATAAGCGGGTCATTTTACACAATATTTCGCCTTTCGTCTGACCCCGTCCAAAGAAACCTTCATTAAGAGTGATTTTCAGGCTCTTTCATAAGAGGTAACAGAACGCCAACTTATGTGTTGAAAGATAACCCTTTGAGCGCAAAATCTTGACGTGCATCGCAATCTTTCCACGGAATGCTAAAACCCTCCCATTTATTCGTTTATTCAAAAAAAAAACCGTCAAGATTAAATGTTGCGTAAAGTTCCAACAGATTCAACGAAGAAATAACCGAGATCAATTCATATAAAATTTTTATCCATAACAAATGAAAAAAGAGAGATAGATATGCATTTTCAGATATCCTCGGAGAGTCTCTTATGACTTCCCCTTCTTCGATAAAAAATGTAAAAATTGAAAAGGATGAGGATCACGATAACAGCTAGCAGCACCCAGATTACGATCACCAAATTGTTATTCTTCGAAACCAGCGTATCCAATCCTTCAAAATTTTTCGGCAAACATGTTATTGCCAAATTCGGTCTTTGGGCAAAAGACATACAGTCTTCATCTTCTTCACAAGGACCCGAAATACCACAGGAGCCATTTAAATCCCCCTTGAACTTGATCTGAAAACAGAATAAAAATGTCGAAAACAGCATACCATACGGGTACTCATGAAGCGCTCAGTATCCGGTGTCGACCAGAGTATGTTTCACTGAAAAATAATACAATTATAAGATAACCGAATGAATCGCGACAACAAAAAAAAAAAAACATTTTTTATTTCTCGACATTTTTTTCTTTGTATTTTTTTTTTGCGGTAAAAAGACACAATGCCATAAAAAAGTTTTGTTGCCAATTCCGAGGGATTTTCAAACTAACATTTTCTATTTTTTATACGCTGTAGGACATTTGAACGTTTCGGTTATTATCGACAAGCATTGTGGCGTCATATTCGATCATAGCAATCAGGCTAAGACCTGATTCCCCGACGGGAGTGTTAAAAGCAAGTCTTAACGAAACAGGTCCGTTTCTGATCAAGTCCATGCAGTTGTCATCTTCTAAGGTTGTTGTCATATTCAAGACAAAGATCGTAAAACCCTTTTTGTACATTTCCCTATCGATAGTGCATGAATAATCGGTAAATGCGAAACCCAAAGCCTCATTAAAATCATGATAGGCCCTAATAAAATTATCTTTTGTAAAATCCATTTCATAAGGGATGCAAGGGAATTGTTGACCATTAGCAGAGAGAGTAACGGATCTTAGGTCACTGTGTACAAAATTAAAGGGAGACTTTTTCGAAGAGTCTTGGACATCAGGGTGATTTGTTAAACCAAAAACAACCCTCCGAGGGACCTGGTCTGTACTTAAGGTTGTAACATATTCTTGTCTGCCTTGAGAAATGAAAAAGGATTTCAAATCCGTTTTCCTGATTGGATAGATTGCGGGATTTTTAATTAAAGTATTGGCAAATCCCATTCCCACACCATCGTTTAAATCCACAGTTTTCACATATAATTTACAGGAGGTTATGGTAAGACGGAACTGCGTTGCTTGATTTGTCACATTACTCTCAATACAAAACAAATTCTTTGCAGGCGTAATCTCCAACACAAGATCCGTGTGATTAAGCATTAATTTTGGAACATTTGCGAGCTCGCAGAAAAGCCTTGTTACAAAGTGCGCTTCCTGTCCTCCCACAAACATTGCGCGGCGCTTTTGGAACCCCGAGTCCGTTTCATCGTTAAATTTTACACTATCATACCATCCCAGAGAGGAGAGATAAGTTTGACTGGCAGTTGAGGGGAAATTAAGCAAAAGGTCAAAGTAGGTTCTCCAGCTTTGTAAAGAATTTGAATGGTAAACCTCCTGGCCGTTTATTAGTAGTCTCATATTTTGAATAAAGGTTGCCCCAATGCCTTGGATAGGAGC